TTTCCGTTGAGAACAATGGAAAACTCATCCGTCTGATCTAGATCGCTTAACGTCTTAAATAATTGTGCGTATGGGTTTGCACGCATGACCTCCATCAATACACATATCACTTCTTTGTCAAGTCGTTCTGTCGCTTCCATCCTGTTAGTAAGAGCGTAGTCTGTGTCGTAGAAATAGAGTTGGAGATTACGAGGCGGACACCCATCAGGAAGTAAGTCATTTATGAAGTGGTATATTTGCCCTTGAACCCTACACGTATATATACCTTGATTTCGACGACAAAGGTTTTTATCATAGTTGTAGATGCCAATTGATGTAAAAGCAAAAGTATTGTTATATGTGCGCACACATGAACGAAAGTGTTTTAATAATGGGTCATGGGCGGTGAACAACCGAATCAATTGTTCTGGCATTTCAGTAGATGTAAGAACAACGTCACCCTTGCTGCAGCACATGCTTGCAACTTCATATTGAAGTCGTTCAGCACCACAAAACAAACAATCAGGTATATTGTGAAGTCGATATACGTTGTTATTCAAGGAAGTAGAACTGCTGCACTCCCCTTGAAATGGGGGATCTAAAAGTGGTGTTCGAATTTATCCATACGGTTGTATGATACGAATAGAAATACAACAATAACCATGTTTAGATGGATTGGAAATACAGGTCGATTTGGCATTAAGATAATTGACAGGTTCATGGACGAAAACACCAATATAGTGCGCAGACGAATGATGCGTACACAAGTCAATAAAAATCAATGGTGTTGTAGTTTTTTGGGAGATAAAGTTACGAGTAAACGGAAAAGGCAACAGGAGAAGTCAATAAGCAGTGGCAAACATATCGTTGTTATAGTGTTTAGGTTGCAAAGGTAGAGGAAAAGAAGCTAAAGCAAATTAGTTACGAGGAAAAAAAGGCGTTCGTTCAAAGTATATAGAAAGAAGTCTGCTTAAATGGGGGAAGACCTTGAGAAACTGCACTGGCAGCAGATACAGAACGACTGACTGAGCGCATGTATGTCAGGCGTCGGCGTTTTAGTTCCTGTTCATGTTGTTCTTCTGAAGAAAGGTGACTGACTGAGCCACGAGGTCGACCCATAAAAAAAACTGCGCGAATACATTACGACACAAACGGTCTTCAAACACTAACCGAAATAAGAAAGCAACTTATGTGTATCATAGCGAAATCATATTGTATTCAACCCGCTACGGGATTCACCAACATCCTCACAAAGATGGTAATGGGAAATGTGGGGGCAAGATATGATAATGCAAACTAACCATGCACAACAATGGGAATTAGCAAAGCATACAAAAAAAAGTTATGTTCGAGGTGTGAGGGGAAAAAATTGAAAACAGGTAAAGTGGAAAAGGAACAAATTCACACAACACAGCCAATAGCCACTATGTTCCCAATGCCTAGATTAAAAGGACCACTAAGAGATACCGCCAAGGTGAGATACCTCTTCAATGATTACAACCAGGAGTATATGAGAAATTCAATGCAACAATAGTAGTTAACATATAGAAACACATTGATGAAGGAATGTAATCGGGAAAATATGTAATCATGAACATGTAACGACGTATATTCAACATTTAACGATGAATATGTAATGATACATAATGAACAAGGTACAAACATGTGGATAATAACTGCCAGTTGAAAAGAAGGTTAGAATGTATGGATGTAAGAATAAAATACCTACAATTTCAGGAAATGACGTAGTGTGCTAGCAGGATCTGTTAACATACAGAGAGAAACACAAAGACTCAACATCATAATGAAATTACAAAATGATGAGGTAAAACAAAAAAAAACATATGAAACGTCAACAATATCCAAATCGGAGATAAGCGTAGTGACTGCCAATGACTTTTTTAAAAAATAAAATCAAACATAAAGGATTAAAAAATTAAAAATCAACATCCTGGAAGTACTTTCATGCAATTGTAAGCAGGAAAAAGCAATTAGGGGAAATCCAAATACAAACATCACATAAAGATTTCGGATGGTCAATCATTTGACTTGCAGTGTAGATACAAACTAAAGTTAAGACAACGCAAATACACAGTCTGACGTGCATACAAACAAACTGACAAATAATAATGTTATTAAGAGAACAAACTGTTCTTACGCCATTACTGTAAAACATTCTTCAAAACATGCATCTTTAGTTAGATAAACAAACTGGGATTTGTATGTAACTAAAACATTTGTGGGGGGGAAACTCAAAATTTAACATTCTGGAAGCAACTGTGTGCAATTGGATGCAGATAAAAAAAATTATGGGAAATCCAAATACAAACGTTAGAGACAGATTTAGAAAGGCCAGGCAAACAATTCAACGCAAGACAGGTAGCCAAATAACATCATCTGACTTTCATTGTACATACAAATTCAAGTTAAGGAAGTGCAAACACAAAGTTTGATGTGCAAACACAGCTTTTAAATGTGTAATTTCAGGTTTGATTATAAAATATGCAGCATTGCGACAGGCACAGACATAATTGTTTGTGTACTTACAGTATTAATGTAAGCACACAAATTAATGTGAAATCAGTTTTTTATATCAGATCAATTTAAGGTGACAGACACAACCGTAATTGTTCATTAAAAGTATCAATTGAGAATTTCTCCAGTTACTGTAAAACATTCTTTAAAGCATGCCTTATTAGTTATTTGTGGGTAGATGTCAGTTGCGAAAAAACATCAAAATTCAACAGCGTGAATACAAAATACTATAAATCAAAAAAAAATTATGGGAAACCCAAACACAAACGGTACAGACACATTTCGAAAGAACAAAAAAAAAATTCAACGCAAGCCGTGTAGCCAAATAACATAATCCGTCGTTAAGTATACATACAAATTGAAGTTAACATAGGGTAAGTACAACATACAGAGCGGTTCATGTGGTATAAAATCCAGTTTATTAAAAAATCGATACTTCCTTGAATAGAAACGCACAAACAATCTGACTGACTGGGTAGATCTCTTAGGGGAAAATAATTCGAAATTCAAAATCTTCGAAGCACTCACATGTAATCCTATGCACTTCAAAACATTTATGGGAAATTGAAATACAAACTTCACAACACAGTGTAAGTACACAGTTGTATGTGCATATAAACAAAGTGACAAATGGAGTGTATGTGCGACAGGGAGGGGAATATCAAAATTCAAGAAATCACACTGCCTGAAATCAAAATCAGAGAGCCAAAGTAATGAACATAAGCCGCACGGTTAAAAAAAACTAAGAAAAGGGCAGGCGCAGCAGCAACAAACAAAGAAAAGAAGAAGAACATGACTCACAATGACGGAAGAACAATTGGAGAACCCAAAGGACGGTATTCCGGATGAAATGATCGTGGTGGTCTTCTTGTAGAAACCGGCTGCATATAGGGATAAGGCGTGGGATCGTGGTGGTCTTATCGTGTCAGGCAGATATTTTCATTGCACCGCCTCAATTAACCGACTAAATAGCTCCTGCGATATTTGTGGGGAGTTGTCAATGTGCTTGCCCAAATGAGAGGGCACAAAACAGAAAACTTCCGTTAGCAGAGACGGACGCAAAATTAGCCTATTCCGTTGCACTGTAGCAACGTATAAACAACCAAAGTAACTTTCTTACACACTTTATATATAAGGAGATAAACATCTTCTGTTTCTATTAGTTGTATATAGTCGGTATGATACCCTTCTCAACTCAAGAAAGGGAAGAGTGAAATGGATTATTCCTATGGTAAGTAGTTACTACTTTATTTCGTATGTTATTTTTACTTTTATTTGTGTAGCACCAAGTCAAATACCGTAGTTCCTGATGAGTAATTATGTTGTTCTAACTTGTAGTCTCGAATGCAAGTTGGGACTTATGAATGTTAAGTTGTTACTATGTGATGTTGCATATGTTGAATATTGTTCGGCGGCAATTCTTGAAACGTGGGATGATGTACATTATTATTGTTATGAATAATTTATTTGTTCAATGTAATGTTTTATAATAACCTTTTTATTTAATTTGTAGCGATTCATCAATCTGGAACCATTCTCGTCAGAAGAGGTTGATGAAGTACAAACTCGTTGAGCATCATATTTCTTAGAAATGACGCATTCCATCAGAGACTTTTAACTTTACAGCTTAGACTATGTGTTATTACTCTAGACTTGTGCAATGATTGTTTTATTTTAGCTTATTATTATATACCAAATTGTTACTTAAACTTGTTTAACATTTGTGGAAGAATTGAAAAATAGTTTGTGTTGTTGTTTTAGATTGATCAAGCGAACACGTGCAAAATTGTGCTATAGTAGTTTATGATATCGTTAATGATGTGATTATAGTATAAATGGGGGTCATATTGCAATTTTTCCGGATATTTCTACAACGGTTGATAGAATAACCGATATGAAAGCTTTTCTACATGGGTTAAAACTGATGTGAAAAATCCTATGTTCCGAAAAAATCTAAGCTTTTCTACATGGGTTATTTTAGACTGGATTTAAATTCTTCCACATCAGTTATAACCGATGTGCAATACTTTAAAACGTCGTTTTTGGGAATCTTCTACTTTTCACATGGGCTGGTACACATCGGTTTTTTGACCGATGTGAAAAGTCTTTTTTGACCGATGTGAAAAACTTTTTTTGTAGTAGTGTGCATAACCCAACCCCAAAGGGAAATACAAATATCTGAAGTTGAAAGCATCAATTTTAACACTTGCAATTTATTTTCTTGGTTAGTGTTGGTGTCTTGGACTTCTAAGATAAAAAAATGCAAAATTGAGGTTTTAAAATGACAAGTGTGGGTGAGCAAATAACCGATGACTATTAGAGAATAGCCTTTTCACATCGGTTATTTCATCTTTTAACGTCGGTTTTGTATGTGATGTGTAAGTGGAGATGTTATAGGTATAATTTTTAGGACGGCTCTAAAAAAGTAAAATGAATTTAAATTTAAAATAAAAACCTACAAAATGTACCCTACTGTTTTGTTACATCCTTCTCACACATAACTAAATACTCCGTAGGTTTTAGGGTGAGAATGAGGTGTATCCTTTTTTGTGACGTGCCCTTTCACCATTTTAACATGCTACGTATCAGTGAGTAACTGAGTAATCGAATTGCTGCCACTCTCGCTTCTCAATCAGCCAAGCTCTCTTGCTAGCTATCTCCACCATTTCAGCCATTTAGGGTTTTCTACATTTCTAACCTTGGGAAGTAAGACCACTGGCGTCCCAAAGAAGCAATGTCTGCTGAATCACTGCATTTAAAAAAGGGAGACAAAGTGGAGGTTCTCAAGCGCGAAAATTTTTCAATATGGATTCCGGCGTCTGTGCTCCGACCATCTGTGAAGAGGAACGACGGGGCCGGTCAAATATACGTGGAATTTGAGACTTTGTGCACCGATGATGATCCAATGAAGCGGCGAAAGGAGTACGTCCACTCCTCCTCCGTTCGCCCTGCGCCGCCGCGAGAAATGTGCTGCTATTTTAGAGTAGGGGACATTGCGGATGTTTTGTATGAACTTAAAGGATGGAGGGAAGGTACAGTAGATGAAATTTTTGAGAACTCAGTGTACGTGGTAGCTCTTCGAGTTGAGGACGGAGAAGAAGAGAGGGATAGCGTGAAGGCGGAGCAATGGCAGTTGAGGGTGCATAGGGACTGGAAAGATGGGTCTTGGGATCCACCACTTGAGCCTCAAGCAGACTGTTACCCTCAACAGTACCCGCAGGTACCAAGTCTTCGCTGATTCGATGATGAATTGATGGTTTTATTACTGATTACGGAGCATAATAAAAGTGCACCCACAAGCACGTGAGTATATATATATACAGTATACATGTCTATGTTATTGTACACACCTGATACTACGTTATCAACCATGAATGGAAGAAATAGGAGATTCTTATTCCAGTGACTACTGTATTAATTTACTGTAGCAAAAAGAAGGAATAAATGGGACTTTTTTATTTGATACCGTGAGACTGGAGTCAAACATTTGCTTTAGACTACTTTTTGGAACTAAACACGATATGCTGGCCCCTCACGCTTAATAAAACAAAGTAAGCACTGAGTAGTGGAGTATGTTTTTCCTTGCCTCTGTATTTGACGAAATTCTTATTTTTTGTAGCATTTCTTCTACTTTTGTATCTCCTTAACTTGTCATTAATATAGAATAAGTATTTGGCTTTTCTACTTGCACAATCTGCTCTTTTTAATTTACTTCCAAGTGGATTTCCTCGGTTCTTCAGAAAACTTTGAATTGTTTAGCTGTTGAATGGTGCAAGTGATTGTTGGTTTGATTTAGACATGTGCACACATGATTTACATAATACTCCTTGGTCCTTAATAGCAATCTCATGTTACTGATGACTTACACAGCCTATATTCACACGCAGAACAAATCTCAAGATTCAGTAATTACAGCAAGTGGAGTCAAACTCCGGATAAAATGTACTAGTAGATCACTTGTTAGAAAGTTCGGTAAGGAAAAGCTTGTAGAGGTTAAGCATGACAAGGAAGGTGTTGATATATCTTGGTATGCTGCAGTTGTTATGAAGGTATTAAAAAACGGGAAGTTCCTAGTGCAATATCAGACCCTAAAGTCAGAGAATGGGATTGAACTCCTTACAGAAGAGGTTGATGCCACATCCGTCAGACCATATCCACGTGAAATTGAAAGGATTAATCCGTTTGAGCCTCTTGACAGAGTTGATGCTTGGTTTAAGAAGGGATGGTGGGAGGGATATGTGTGGGAGGTTGTTGATGATATGAAATATGTGGTTTGTTTGGGATCCACAAATGAATTTTCAACATTTGAACATTCTAACTTGAGGCCTCATCAAGATTGGATAAACAACAAATGGGTTGCAGCAACAAAGGTATAATAATGCCTTTATTTGTTGTGATGATTCTTACTTACTGGCTTACTGCTGCCTCGATCCCAACTTGTTGGTCACTAACCATTCATTGATCAAAACTACTGCTTTCTTTTCCTGATTTTGAATATCATTTTTTTAAACACATTCAAATTACTTTTGCGATTCAATCAAAATTTTATTGTTGTTTCTAAATAAATTTAATTTTTAATGCTCATTTAAATATTATTAGGGGGTATTAACTTTAACTTCTTTATGACCTCATGGTCCGAAACAGGACACATAGAATGGGAGGAAAGAGTATGTTTGATGTTTTTTATGTATGTATTTTGCAATTTCTTAGTTTGATTTGCCAAGGAGCTCAAACATTGTGAAAGAAAATCTGTATGCCACAAAGGTGAAGATCAGAAGTGATGGAAAGGTATCAGTTCCAACTTTCAGCAAGGGAATGATAGTAGAAGCCACAAGCTTTGAAGAAGGTTACCATGGTTCTTGGTTCACTGCAATCATTTTCGACACTATAGAAGAGGAGAACAGGTATGTGTTGGAGTATCAGACTCTGAAGACAGATGATGAATCTGAACCTCTTAAAGAGAAGGCTGATGCCTTCAATATCCGCCCTTGCCCTCCCATCATTGAACGCTTAGATCGCTTTAAAATGTTTGAAGAAGTTGATGCGTGGTACAATGATGGATGGTGGGAGGGTCTCATTTCCAAAGTTCTTGCAGGCTTAAAGTATGTGGTGTATTTCTGGAACACAAATGAAGAAATAGAATTTGAACATCATGGTATCAGGCCTCATCAGGAATGGGTTGATGGAAAATGGGAAATTGCTTTCAGGGTATGTGACTCCAAGCACTTCCATGTACAAAAGCGCCTTTCTTTTTATTATCATCATTGCTTATGTATGGTAGTTTCTTTATTGAACTGCAGAAGTCCAACAAGCTACCGAATCCCAAACTTGGGATGATGAAGAGATTCAGCACTGGAATTGGGTCATGTGGACCTTTCTGCGTTGGAACAAAAGTGGAGGTAAAAGATGGAGATGGAAATCAGGGAGGATCTTGGTATTATCCGGCTTTTATTTTACGACCAATAGGGAATGACAAGTACATGGTAGAGTTCAGGACACTAAAATATGATCATGCAAATGAACTGCTGATTGACGTAGCAGATGCTTTGTGTATAAGGCCTTCTCCTCCTATATTGCAAAGAACTGACCAGTACAGACCTCTTGAGGAAGTTGATGCTTGGTTTAGTAATGGTTGGCGGGCTGGACAAGTATGTAATGTTCTTGAGGATGGGAGGTATAGTGTCTGTTTTGGGACTGCAAATGAGTTCTTAGAAATTCGACATAATGGTTTGAGGCCACATAGGGATTGGATAAATGGCACATGGGTGAATTCTCAACGGGTACACTATCCTTCTTTTTATTTAAAAAATGTGTATTAAATATTTTTGTGTTATCATCTTCAATTGTGAAGTATCATAAAAATAGAATCTTCTAGTGCGAACTGGGTTCTGGCTTTAATCGGCCTAACGCCTGCTTTCGATGGCAATCAAGGATTGATTTATGAAGGGTAATCCTTAGCTTACATAGCTGTAGATTGGTCCATTCCCGTAAGGGTTCTCCCTTATCTTTCTTCTTCCATAGGCCCCAGAACTGCTTGTGCTTTCACCGATTGCTTCGAAAGTCGGGGTCGGCTTTTCCTCTTCCTCTATTTCGAAAAAAGAAGTGAAGCTAGACAAATCTAATAAAAACGGGTAGAGAAAATGCCTCGAGCCAATGTTTGAGTACCACAGGCGCTACAGCGCTGAAGTAACGCATGCCATACTCCCAGGAAAAGCTCGAATGACCGTAAACCTAAGGCTGATGAATATTATTCTTGTGTGTGTGTTAATATGTATACATCTCAAAATGATACTCCCTCCTTTCTTGTTAAGCATAATGAGTTTGTCAGTATGCAAACATACATCAAAGTAGTAAAAAAAATACTATGTACATGATTTTATGACTTATAGAGTGAAGAATATTAGGTGTGAATATACACATTCTTGACAAAGGTGCTCATGGATGTGCCAAATGGATGAACTGGACGTGGATTCAAACCACATAAATCTGCCACAAACGGATGCAGTGCACTTCGACAAACACTTCCACAAGTTTCAAGACATGTTCCAAATTGAATCTGCAAAAGGTGGATCGGATGAGGTCTCTCCACGTTCTATTCCATCCGATCCGTGAACCCTTTACTTGTTATGTTTTTGTTGTGTCGAAATTTATTTGCGGTGCAATTATAAATATACTGGCATAATCGTTTTCAGGATGTTGATTTGCAGGAGTACATGGTGTAGCAGGAAAGGTGTACCAACGTAGTCCATTGTCAATTCCCACTATGCACAGCTCTGACTCAGGAAATTAGAAATCAGTTGAGTGAAACTGCTACCAGTTGTCTTTTTGCTTCTATGAATTGTATTAACTTAATTAGGGTGACGTCAATAATGTAGCTCAATCTTTGACTGGTCCACCCCCATCTCTCTCTCTCTCGTGTTTCTTTGGTTGTTAAAGCTTGAGCTTTAGGATGTTTTTACTTGGACTGTAATTGTCTGGTCTGGTCTGGTCTGGTCTGGTTTCTTTGTATTTTTATAACTATCCAAGTCTTGTCTGGTCTGGGAGGAATTACAGTCCAAGTAAAAACATCCTTACACGTTCTTAAAAGTGTTTATATTAACGGAAATTCTCAAATTCCGCAAGGTTGCCTGAAGCCTCCTTAGTATGCCTTATAAGAATGTATACAGAGAGCTCGTCAAAACTAGTTTTAAGAATGCCTTTTAGTATAAACCTGTACTAAAAGTAGTTTTCCCATCTCCTAAAAAGATTACAGCGGTTGACAAATGATAAGTGCTCCAACAAAATCCCAATATACAATTATACAAAGTATACAAATTTCTTTAGGCCCCTTTTCAGATAGCGTTCGTGGTGAGAAAATCTTTTTTTCCATCGTAGTCCATTCCCAGAGTATTTACTTTGTCCAGAACTAATCGGAAACGTCCAGAGCCATCATAATAATAAACCAATACAGGATGATTTTTGCGTTTCTACTTTCTAGATTGCGTTTGTTCATTACGATGCTCTTCTTTTTTATTTTATTTTTTTTGACTTAGGATGTTTTTACTTGTACTTTAATTCCTCCCAGACCAGACTTGGATAGTTATAAAAATACAAAGAAACCAGACCAGATCAGACCAGACCAGACCAGCAAATTAAAGTCCAAGTAAAAACATCCTTATACATATTTTCAGCTTTTCTGCCAGCTTTAATAACTCTCAAAAGTAAAAATACGGGTTTTTTTTTCTTCTAAATGAACAAACTACTTTCAGCTTATAAGTTATAACATACTCCGTATTATTCTATTTTTTCTTGACTCACTATCTTCCCCTCTATTTCCCATACTTTTACCAAACACAATCTAGTCGTTGGTGACTTGGACACTTGGTGTATGAATTATGGTTTAAACTAAACGGAAGACTTCTCATAGGGTGAACAAATGAGGGCCCAAGGCCAATTTATCATGCAAGTTTGAGTCTTTTTTTACAAAAAAAAATCATTTCATCATTCATATTCATGACATTAACAAGATCACTCCTTCGTTAGTACTTAGTACTACGTATTATATACCTTCGAAAAATACTTACTTTCGTGTACAAGATTACAAGTATATCACATTTATATATATTTAATAATATGTGATTGAATATAAGTATTAAATGTTTGAAACACAGATATGTTTGTGTTTTAAGCACTTCGTATTTAAAAAGTAAGACAAATTAAACACACATACACGTCTACATGAAAGAAGTTTAAATTAGAAATAATAATTCAGTTTTTTACCATAACCCAGATGTACAACTCCTTTGGTAATCTTTTAATAACCCCTTCAAATATCCCTTTTCTGATAAAAATATGCTCATGAAAATGTTAATTAGAGAATCTTCTAATATGAACTTTATAATTCATAATCATAACTCTAAATAAGCAAAATAGAAAATAAGCTTATATAGAGGTCGTTTGTCAATACTGTTTTTCGGCTTATCAGGTTTATCAGTCAATTTTTTTACCAAAAACGTAACTTTTGCTTTCGCGTGCTGAATTGTGTAATAAGCAGAAAAAAGTAAGGTTGTAGTTACTTTTCTGGTTGCATTGGCTGAAGTTACTGCAGGTGATCATTTTAGCTATTTTTACATATAATTTTTTATTTATTTTATTAATAAAATATATTTTATAATTATTTTTTTCTTAAATCATCAAAATCAGTCAATGCAGCCACTTCAGCTAGAACTTCATAAATTTCTGCAGAATCAGCCGATTTTCGTGCTACCAAACGGGCTCATAATATGACATCAAACCAAAATGCAGCCTCCCAAATTTCGATGGCAAGTTAGAACCTCATCCCCAATTTGAACTACTACAATCTAAAATAAAACTTGCATAATACTCTTATCTTTTTATTGTGAACCAACATGGCATTGATAAAAAATGTCCATGAAATAATAAAGGGGAAATTTGACTTTGCATCACACATTTTGGATGCTATTGGACTTTGCACCCAATTTTAAAAAAACTTTGATTTTGCATCCCATTTCATTTCAAAATCTTTTGACTTTGCACCCTATTTTGATATGTTCCTTCACAAATGTTGTATGATAGGGTACAAAGTCAAAGGTTTTTTTTTAAAAATGGGGTGCAAAATCCAATATCACCCAAAAAGTAAGGTGCAAAGTCAAAGTCTAAGTAAGACCATGAATGTTTACTTCAAAGTCTAATAAACTACTTCCATCCCATAAAATTGTTTCTGATTTGACTTGTATCGGAATTTAAAAAAGTGAAAATAAAGTGAAAATGTATAGTTATAATTGAGTAAGAAAAAGATAAATAAATGTAAATCACATCAAAGTTGATGGTAACTTTATTACATCGGCTTCAAAGTAGGGGTGATTTCTCAAATGACGGGAAACCATTGCTTGGACTTCCAAAATACGGGAAAATACGGGTAACGGGGTTGGCTAATCCGAAAACTTTAGGGTTGGCTGGGGAATGCTAAGAAACGGATTCCCCTAATCCGAAATGTGCTTTTAATTTTTTTTTATTAAAAACTTGCTTTGTACGTACATAGGTAGTACATTATAAATTTGAGTAAGTGAGTAAGTAATGAGTACAGCTGTACAGTACATTATTATTTTGTTTAGCTACGTACACTTTTTTTAAAACATGCTATATATACAAAAAATTCAATATAAATTTGTTAGTGAATTATTTTTAGGCACCCAAAAATAAGGAATTTTTTCAAAAAGTAAAGTTTGACCGATTTAATTTATTGTTGCAATCACTTTTGTAATCGAGGTATATTTTATGATGAAGTGTTCTGAGTTTAATTGATTTGGATAATATGTACAAAAGTAAATAAATTTAGTGATATTTATAGTTGGAAAGACATGTATTATTTTATTAAATAAGAAATAATCAATTGTTATGTTAGAGATTGTAATAGTGAATATACATATTCAATTATATTGTATTACGAATTTATTCAATGTTCCCGCAAAAATAAACAATATAAATATTTCATTACTCATTTCTTCTTGAACAACAACATGACAAAGAAATACAAATTTTTATTCATTGAAAAACAATTACAAAATACATATAAATTTTTACTCTTGTGTTCTCCTACTCGGACGCATATCTGTTTCATTTGTAAATCGTGTCCTTTGAGGTCTACCGGTTTGACTATGTTCAGCACTTTGAGGCGGTATCACTACATATGCGGTATCAGGCATCGCACTTACGTCATGCATAGGCATAATATCTGTAGCATACGTACGGATGTACGCACCTAATTTATACACGTCCGGGATGAGATGATCTACAGTTATTTCTAAGAAATGACATGTTGCATAGGCGTGCACACATGGAAATCCATTTTGCTTCCAAAAACCGCAATCACATTCGCAACGTGAGAGATTTACCGTTATCGGCGGATAATCACGAATGGAAACAGAGTATATTCCCGTTGTTCGGTTATGCGGGACAATAGTGCACTGATATCTTTTCTGCGAACGTTCAAGAATATATTTCCATATATTTTGCGGATATAGGAACCCAGCTTGCCGCCACATCTGACCGGCCCTACGTCGATCGGCAAATAGTTGGACAACTTTGTTATAAGTTGCCTTAACCAGCGCGGTGATTGGAAGTGTTCGACATCCCTTTAGAACGTTATTGAAGCTCTCGGAAAGATTTGTTGTGAGGATGCCGTAACGTCGTCCATTGTCGAAGCACAGTGCCCCATTTTCACGTGGAATAGCGTTAAAATACGTGAACGCATTCTCATTCGTAGCACGAATTTGAGCCATTGTTTGGTAAAATTCACTCACCATGGGTGTACTCCCGGCCTGCCAACAGAGCTTTTTCAGTTCAGTGCTCCTGAATTTTGTCATGAAATTGCTTCTAATGTGTCGGAGGCAGAACCGCTTCGAAACTTGGGAGGTTTTCAATTGAGGTACTGATTGATAGGCACTTAGGATGCCAGGGTGTCGATCTGATATTATGCACACATGCCGATTTGGTATGACAACATAAGTCATAATGTGTTCCAAAAACCAGGACCAACTACTTGTGTTTTCACTTTCCACAACTGCGTACGCGAGAGGGAAAATCTCACGGTTAGCATTCATGGCGACTGCAACCAGGAGATGGCCCTTGAACTTTCCGTACAAGTGAGTACCGTCAACAGATACTACGAGCAGACAGTGTTCAAACCCATCAATGGAAGCTTTAAAAGCCCAAAACGCACGATGAAATTCATACGTACCATCATGACTGGTTGGTTTTGGTTGGAAATCTACCACTGACCCCGGATTTGATTCTCTTATCGCAAGCAACAAATTGGGTAAATCATTGTAGGCCGCCTCTCAGTTGTCGAATCTTCGTTCAAAGGCAATCAAACGTCCATACCACGCCTTTTTGTACTTGACATTGATTCTGAATTTGTCGTATATGTCTTGCATCACGAGTTTAATGTTGTAGTCCGGATCAACATGCACTTTTGTAGCGATTACACTCGCTATGATCTTGCTCGTCATCTGCCTGTAATTACGGACTCTTTTATAATCCACTCTGCAGTTGTGTAGTGGTTGATATTTTTTCACCTTCCACAAATTGGTGTCGAGAAGATTTCCCGCCTGAATGTGCCACATACACATGTCATCATAGATGCAAACTTTCTTCCACGATCTCACACGTTTGTCTTTTGTCTTAAAAATTCAAGATTGCCGAATATTTTCTATTTCTACGGCTTCTTTCAGTAAGTCGTATGAATCGTATATTTTGCTGACCGCAATAGTTTCATTATCACGATTTCCTAGTTCAATATATGGTTGTTCCAGCTCAATATCGGCCCATGTTGTGTCATGAGCGTCATCACTATCATCAGAATTTGTTGTTGCATCGTCATTTCCAGAAAATTGTTCATAATCTGGATCATCTTCCTCTTCATATAATGTTGAAGGGCCATCTTCATGTTCAACAGTATGTGGGTTGTAGCGTCCGCCATATCTCGTTGATGGTCCATCATCGTTGGAGTGGATATTGTGAAAAGTTTCACAATTGTGGGTGTCACCTCCTCCATATGTTGATATTTGTGGTTGGACTATAGAGGTTCTTCGTGCATCTAGGAAAATATGTAATTCTCCATACTCTCTTTCAGCAAGTCGGAAAAGTGCTTCCAAGTATCATCATCATGGATGGGCCACAGTCTTGATGCCACATACACACGATTTTTGTACTTTGGTAATTTTCCGTGAATGGATACAATTTCTCCAAAACCTCTCTACGCGCACTCTTCGACAATCCGCTCGTTTATAGCGTTAAAGCCATCGTCATTGCTGATTAATAGCGCTGCGCTCGGAGGAATGGAATACTCTACTTCATCATCTTTCATAATAATATAACCATTCCAGTGGACACAAACTGGAGTGTTATGATCAGTTGCCATTTTTTTGTATATGGTAAGTAATATCGTAGGAAATATAGGGAGTTGATGATAGATAGCTAGGAACTCTAAGGTGATAAATAGATAGCAAGAATATGGTGATTGAGGATAGTGATGAGCCTTTTATAGTAAAAAAAATTAGTACTTCGTAAGAAAGGTGTGTGTAATTTCTTTGTTCCAAGACAAAGAAATTACACACACCTTTCCTACGAAGTACTATTTTTTTTTTTTGGAACAACAATGTGTGTAATTTCTTTAATAATAGTAGTTATGAGTATTTGGATGCAAGTGGTTGAGAGGAAGTGGTTGAAAAAATTATTGATTGTTGGGAGTGGGGTACTGGGGTTAGGTGGGTGGAAGTGGTTGAGAGAAGTGGTTGAAATTATTTCGAATAATAAGTGGTTGAAAAAAAATTGAATGTTGTGTAGAATTATTGATTCCCGAAGTGACAAAGAATTTGTAAGAAAAATTAAAAGTTGATTGATTTAATTTAAAGTGAGTACAATCTGTACACTTTTGTACCCGAGGTATTTTTTTAGATCAAAATTATTGATAGTTGGGAGTGGGTTTAGGTGGGTGCAAGTGGTTGGGAGAAGTGGTTGAAATTATTTCGAATAATAAGTGGTTGAAAAAAAATTGAATGTTGTGTAGAATTATTGATTCCCGAAGTGACAGGGAATCTGTCAAAAAAATTAAAAGTTGATTGATTTAATGTAAAGTGAGTGGAATCTGTACACTTTTGTACCCGGAATATTTTTTTTAGATCAAAATTATTGGTAGTTGAGAGTGGGTTTAGGTGGGTGTGTAACGTGGCATCACCAGCATAGACCGATCAACCGGGTCCATAAGTGATATTTGTGCAGCCACTCGTATCTCAACTGACAATAAGAATCATATATTAGTGTTATATATGTGTGTGTATGTATATTATAATGACGTGTTTTATTAAATGAAATTATAAATTACACATAAACTTTCAATGAAACTATATCAGTCTTATGTATTACATTATAATATATGTACGGTTGATATTGGGCTTATCCACTAACAATATTACCACCGTGCCAGAAACTAGAAAAGGACTAGTTCTAGACGAGCTCGTGAAAATTGTACCGGTATAGTGCTATTATATTATATGTATCGATACAAATTTAAGACTTGCCACTGAGTAATATTCTCATTGTGCCAGAAACTAGAAAAGGACTAGTTCTAGACATAACGTTTGTCAGAAACTAGAAAATGACTAGTTCTAGACGAGCTTGTGAAAATCGTACCAGCATAGTGCAATTATATTATATGTACCGATACAAATTTTAGACTTGTAACTAAGTAATATTCTCACTGTGCCAGAAACTAGAAAAGGACTGGTTCTAGACATAACATTTGTCAGAAACTAGAAATGGACTAGTTCTAGACGAGCTTGTGAAAATTATACCAGTATAGTGCAATTATAATATATGTGCTGATACAAATTTTAGACTTGCCACTGAGTAATATTTTCACTGTGCCAGAAACTAGAAAAAGACTAGTTCTAGACATAACATTTGCCAGAAACTAGAAAAGGATTAGTTCTAGACGAGCTTGTGAAAATTTATCAGTATAGTGTAATTATAATTTATGTTTGCTTTTATGGCTCAATTATAATAAATGTTATGAACTAAATTATATTATAATGTTATTTGGAAATAAGTGGTGATGACTAAATTAAAATGTTCAACTAACTAAACTAAATTTAAATTGTAATAGCAACGTAGTCTCAAATTACCATATACACTAATTTATTACTTCCTCTATCCTAGAAAATTCTTCCCACTTTAACTTGGCACGGAGATTAAGAAAGTGGAATAAAGTGGAAATGTGTGGTTGTAGTTGTGTAAGAAAAAAGTCAAATAAATGTGAACCACACAAATTGTCCAAAAATGGTAAGTGGGGAGATTTTTTGGGACGGTCAAAAAAAATGGGAAGAATTTTATGGGACGGGGGGGGGGGGGGGGGGGGGGGGTATTTAATACATTAGTAACAAATATTAGTGAACCAATAATTAGTGTAATTGAAAAACAGTAAATGTGCTTACATTATCAACATAAATTAACTACTGTCAAGGAAACTCTACAAATAATTATAAGTTGTGGGCTAATTATTTCTATTGTTATATATTTAGTATGACATATATCAACAATCTTAATAGCAATTAAGATTAATTACATATTAATATTAAGATTTTCGAAATATTCAGGCTGACATAACACAATCAGTACAAAAAATTAACGGTAAAGAGTAAATATATAATTAAAATTCTAACCTTTCTTTGAAGAACTCGGAGAATAGAATTAGCAATAACACTCAATAATTTTTTGTAACTAAATTTATTTTTATCGTAGTAGGCTGAATATGATGTTGAAGTGATTTAAATAGGTTAAGTTTGAGATTGGGAGTATGGATTTCCGTGCAAAAGAGTGGACAATTGGGATGAGTTTGTTACATCCTACGGTTGAAAAATGAACTGAAGAAGCACGATCCGGGTAGATTTGTTTTGGCCAATCCGGGAGGCTTCAAATTTCAGATCAGTGAAATCCGAATTTCATTGCTTCTGACCAGGCCACAGTACTCTTGACAATCATGGCTGCATTACTTTCACTCCTGACAACCGATTGTTTCCTTTTATTTGCTTTTAAAAAATTTCGGATTCACCAAATCCGTTTTCTCACCCAAAATAAAACCCAAAGTCGGATTAAGAGAATCCGAAAAGAGAGATTCTGACAGCTCTGACTTGCCTTTTGCGTCCAACTTAGAAACTCATCCAAAAACCTAGAAAAGTCAGATTAGCCAATTCCGTTTCCCGTAAATTCATACTCTAATTCTGACATTCGTATTTTGGGAATGGATGCGTGAAAGTCAGTAAATCCATCCTTTTCTATCAAAGTAGGGGTGGATTTAACATTCCCACTTGTCCCGGTCAAATTTCAATTTCGGATCAACTGGTTTCAAGTTAGTGTGGGGGTGGAATCGAAGACTTTCTTGGAGGGAAGTCTCTTTGGTTTACCGTAAAACCAACACTTTTTTATTCTACGGTAAGTCATTTCTGAATCCTCAATGTTGGTTTGTTTTGTTAAGAGTAATGAATAATCATCAAACTGACCATTTGGGGATCTTCCCGGAGGAAGTTATTGTCCAGATTCTTGCACGATTGCCAGTAAAATCACTTGCCAGAACAAAATGCGTTTGCAGACTCTGGAAAACCCTAATTTGCGACAAATACTTCGCTCAGATCTACAACGAAGCATCGATCCGAAACCCTATGGTTCTATTGGACGCATGCGAGTCCTCATCCGCCGGCGGCTTGATCTGCGTCGACAATAAAGTTGGCGTATCTGAATTATCTCTCGATTTCGTAAGAGACAGGGTGAAAGTTAGGGCTTCTTGCAATGGGCTGTTGTGTTGTTCAAGCATACCTGATAAAGGTGTCTACTATGTCTGTAATCCCATGACTAGAGAGTATAAGCTTTTACCCAGAAGTAGGGAAAGACACATCACTAGGTTTTACCCAGATGGCGATGCCACACTAGTTGGCTTGGCTTGCAATTTGTCAACACGACGTTATAACGTTGTTCTGGCCGGGTACCATCGGTCATTCGGGCACCGGCCTGAGAGGAATTTCATATGTTTGATCTACGATTCGGAATCTAATAAGTGGAGGAGATTTGTCTCCTTCCAAGACCACCAGTTCAAGCAAATGAACAAGAATCAGACGGTTTTTGTTAACGGGTCGCTACACTGGTTGACTGACACCGGTTCTTGTGTTTTAGTCCTCGATTTGGCCAGTGATGTTTGGCGGGAAATCCGACTGCCGGACGGAGTGGGTTGCACGGTCGGAAACCGGGTTTACTTGCTGGAATCGGACGGGTGTTTGTCTGTTGTACGGATATCAGATGCTTGGATGATGGTTTATGTTATGAGAAGCTATGAAAAGGAAGAATGGGACTTGGTGGATCGAGTGAGTCTGAGATGCATAAGAGGGATGGTTCCCGGGGTGTTTCCTATAAGTCAAACAGGTGAATGTGTGTTTCTTGCCACACACAAGCAGGTTTTGGTGTATAAGACAAAGAGCAAGGTGTGGAAGGAGGTGTATTCTGTGAAGAATGTGTCCAGGCTGCCTTTATGGTTCTCTGCTTATCCGTTTCGCAGCACAATCTTTTCATGTCATTGAATTCTCCTTTAATTTACTTCTTTTATGTTGATAAATTGATGGCCTTTTGGGGGTGTATTGATCATTTGAGTCTTGTAGTATTTGGCAATCTTGAGTTTAAGGCAATGTAAATAAAAATAAGATGCCAACTTATCCTCCAGTTGTGATATTCTTTTACTAAAATAAACTGAGAATAAGGTTGTATGGTGTTTACAATCTCAACAGTATCAAGTGGTATTCCGAGCTAACTTGTACGAGTATATTGTTGCTCTTCTTCAGTTCTGGAGAGGTAGATACGAAGTACGTAGTATATTGTATTGGAAATCAGAGTTTGAAAATTTTATATTAGGTCATTTAGGTGCCAAAACTTCATACGTTAATATATAGGACTATACGAGTAAATGAATGGGTTATTAACTACTCCCTCCGGTCCTAAATAGAGGTAGATTCGGGCCGGGTGGCCCGACCCGGAACCGGCCCGGGACCGGTACTGTTCTGACCTGGCCGGCCAGGGACCGGTCCGGGTAGGCCCGGCCAGGGACCGGTCCGGGTAGGCCCGGCCCGGTGGTTTTACGGTGCCGGCTCGGGTCCGCCAAATGATGAACCGGTCTGGCCGGGCCCGGTTCCAAGCCTTTTTTTTGTTTTTTCATTTTTTTTTCAGGGTTGGGTTGGGTGTTTTGGCCCATTTGGGGTGGTGAGGGGGGGGTGGGGGTGAGGGGGGGGGGGTATTAGGGGATTAATTAGAAAGAAAAAAAAAATAGGAAGTAGCCCGAGGCCCGGACCCGGTGGCTACCCGGGCCGGTCCCGGGCCCAACTATTCTAAACCGGCGACCCGCCCGGGCCTAGGCTCGACTCGGCCCCGGCCTGGCCCGAGTCCACCCATAGTCCTAAATAAAGTTCAGTGTTTGACTTCACATAAATTAAGGAAATAAATTTGATTTTACTGTAGAAGTAAAGTTCAATTTCCCATATTAAACTTTACCCTTCCTTATTTGCCTTATTTGGCAAACAAATCTACACCAAATAATGCAAAACAGTGTCAAAACGGTGCCAAACAGTGTCAAATAGTGTCAAAACAATGTACTCTACACTAAAATTTACCTCAGTAAATTTATTTCTTTAATATGTGTGAAACAAAAGTGTAAACTTAATTAAGAACCGGAGGGAGTATAATTTATAATGGGTTTGCTATGAAATTAAAAAAAAAGTTTGAAGTAAGAAGAGACATTACAAAAAGTTCCCAAAGAATAAACTCCTATGTCATGTATAGCAAAACCTAAAAATATATTCCAAGATTAAAAAATCAAAGCTGATATCATCTTGCATTTGAAATTTTAAAGTACATGAACTTGTATTTTTATAGTCAACCAAGTAAGTACATTTGCTCTGTTAGAACGTTAAAATAATTGTCTTGGCCAAACTATGTATTTGTATTACTTCAGGTGCAGTCCAAGTCATCAAATAATTAATCTATAAAATCATTTTTCCTTCAGTCCACCCGTTTTCACATTCGCACTTCATTTATATTTTTCTCGTCTGCTCTCCCAACTCTCCGCTCTACGTCTTATGTTTTTCCCGTCTGCTCTCCTTGATATCTCTTCTCCTCCTCCTTCTTCTTCTCCTCCTCCTCCTCCTCCTCCACCACCTCCTCCTCCTCCTCCTTCTTCCTCTTCTTCTTCTCCTCCTCCTCCTCCTCCTCCTCCTCCTCCTCCTCCTCCTCCTCCTCCTCCTCCTTCTTCTCCTTCTTCTTCTCCTTCTTCTTCTTCTCCTTTTTGCTCTACGTTTTCTTCTCTTGCTATAATAAAGACGGGCCAATAGCAAATAAAAGAAGAAGCTGACGGGATAATAGGGAGAGAAGATGAAAGAGAAGGATAGCAACACATGCGGAGCTAGAGGGTGCCAACCTAGGGCCTGACCCACCTCAAATTTAAAAAATGCTTTAATTTTAAAGTAAAAATTATGTGTAATTTCTATCCAAAAATATTCTTTGTACTACTCCGGTCCGGCCCAGTGCCCTGGCTCTACCCTTGGAGAGCAGACGAGAGAAATATAAGATGAAAAGCGAGAGAAGGGAGAGCTAACGTGAGAAATATAAAATGAAAAGTGAAGGTGGAAACGAGTGAAGTGGAAGAAATTAGAGTTTATAGATTAATTATTTGATGACTTGGACTGCAAAGATATATTACAAACTAATAGTTTGGCCAGATCAGTCATTTTAACGTTTTAACAAAGAACATATACTTAGTCGACCGTAAAATGCAAGTTCATGTACTTTGTAATTTCAAGTGTAAGATGGAGTACTGCTTACTCCACTTGAAACAACTTCATGTACCATTTAGACCATTTTCTCGTATTAATTTTAAATATATAAATCAGATTATGGAAACAAATACATGATCTGAGTGGAGTAAAAACGTGCTAGATGCGGGCGTTATTCTCAACTCTCAAGTTTAACTTTCTATGCGACTTTGGTTTCACTACCATTTTCGGGTGGTGGGCTATCAGGGTTTGCTCACATTCCAAACCATCCTCATTTGATGTTTTCTTCATCTTTATGGCTCAATCAATTTTATGTAAAATCTATTTTAAAATAAAAAATTCAAATTTGTTGAAGGAAATTCTATGTAGTGTGGTATCGTTTATATAGAATGTGTATTAATTAGGACCGTTTTATGTAAACTATGTATTATGGGCTTGTTGGCCGTACTTGTAAACTCTAATCTATCCCTATTTATAGGAGCCTTTGGTAATGAAACTCCACACACAATTCCCCTACAACACTTTATTAGCACGAGCCCTAACCCCAGCATTCTCTCTTCCCCAAAAAACCTATCTAGCCTGTACAGTCGGCCGCCCCTCAACCAAGCGCCACACACAGCCGTGCGTCCCTCTATCACCAGCCCCACTCAGTCGCTAGCTACTACTCGAAGTTTTCTGTCACTCACCGCCCCACCGCAAGTCGCTTGCTGACCGACGAAGCTTTCCGTCTTCTGAATTGCTTGCTCAAGTTTGCACTCACCAGATCTATCGGCGAGGGTAGGCACCACCTTTTTGGATCTATTGTTGGAGGATGAATCCTTCCCTTGTCGGATCTACTGCTGGAGGTCGCCGACACTTGCTGCTCGAGAGTGATTGCGTCCTCAACAACTGAATCCGATGAGCTAAGATGCACCAAATCCGATATGAGCTCAGTAATTCTTATGCTTCTTCAATCTCAATTCCGAGTGACAAAGCTTCAATTGAAGGTGAGTTTTCCTCTCTGATATTTTTCCCTCGCCCAATTCGTATATTACACAGTTTTGAGTATTAACATGTTTATTTTTTAGAAATTCCTTGTTCGTAAGAATATACTACATGTATATTCATATAGATATGTTTGCCTTGTTTTCTTTGCACTTTTATGACTATTGTGTGAATAATAAATACTCCCTCCGTCCCATTTAAAGGTTCTCGTCCACTATTCACATGGTCAACTTAAATCATTCTTAACCTTTTGCTTCATATATCAAATTTTTATGAAATTTACATATTTTTTATCAGCCTTTGTAGCGACTTTAATGTAGTTTCTGAATATGTAAATTTTGTTTTCTAAAAATAATCAGAGCGTGAAGAGGGATCAAATTGCTTTATCGTCAGTCAAGCATCGTAAACTGAACCGGGAACCTCTATATGGGACAGAGGGAGTAATTGTTTTGTTGATTATTATTGTGAAAGTTTTTTTGACTGAATTATTATTGTGATTGCTAGTTGATTATTATATATTCAACTAAAACTTTATTCTGCACTTTATTTCTTTTAAACTTGACCACTTAGTTTAGTAGCAGTATAAGAAAATCTGGATTTTTTCACATACACATAATTTATGATGTTTTTATGATATGTACTACTTCATACGAGTATTTTTCAATATCTTGTGGGTTATCTTTGTATTTATCACTTGTTTTTTGCTTCCGTATAATTGTATCAATTTGATATGTTTTGTTTTGTTTTAAAAACAAACTAACAATTCACTTATTCTATCATGATTTCATGAACTCAAGCTGCCATGATCGACAATGATATGATTATGTGTTAAATACATTTTGTGAAAAACTGGGTGATATAGAACAATAATACAAATGTATAGACGTATCAAACGATACTAGCTAGTACAAATGTTGTTTACTAATTTCTATGTCATGGATGCACTCATGATTCCATAATTTTTACGTAATTATAACTTCTCCAATTTGAAACAAATTTGATATTTTGTACTCATTAGACTTTGAATCTCCTCAATGAATTTTTACTAAAAGACAAGGAACGGTCTAAAGTGACTCTTTTTGTATTACAAAACACCCAAAGCATCGGGATGACACATAATAATTTCTTCAATTTGTCTCTAGCTAATTATTGATTTAGTGTAATCAATTTCATTTGATTGAGTACAAAAGTTTCAATGCTTTATTAGGCACATATTATGCCTACAAACACATTCTTTTGTAAAAATTAAATTACAAAAGCGTATGAGATATAAAGAAATTATCTATTTTTTCCCACATACTTTTCTAGACGCATACATATGAATCAATATAAGTTAAATAGTTATATCGCTCAAAAGCTTGTAGTTTGCACTTGTGAGTGAGATTTATTGTTATTAATGTTTTTTTTAATGTAATAATTTTTTTTGAGACAAAGAAATCCCACATGACCTATTGATAATGAAATTTTCAAATAGAATAAGAAAATATAAATTTTTAAATAGATCCTTGAAGGAAAGAAGGTCAAATGTGATAATCTCATCAAGATATAATCGAAAAGTACACTTTAGTATTAATCCTCATAGAAAATCTGAAGAACAAGAGATTCACTACATGAGAGACTAAATTTAAATTCAGCTTTATTATTGTCCGCTATGTTGAGAATAATAACCTTCTCTAACTGTTGCATTTATCCATTTTTAACTCTTTCATGAGTTTTATAAATATGGACATCACTACTTCTAATTAATTAGACTTTTATTTTGGGTCCTAAAGTTTGGTATAAATTATGCGTAGTCTTTTGAGATTATAAATTGATTTGATATCTCAATGTTTATCTCAAACTATATTTGAGATGTTTATGCAATAAATCTGAATGCATAAACATCTCAAATATATTTTGAGATAAACATTGAGATATCAAATCAATTTATAATCTCAAAAGACTACGCATAATTTATACCAAACTTTAAGGCTTGAAATAAAAGTCTAATTAATTAGAAGTAGTGATGTCCATATTTATAAAACTCTTGAAAAAGTTAAAAAATGGATAAATTCAACAGTTAGAGAAGGTTCTTATTCTCAACATAGCGGACGGTCATAAATCTGAATTTAAATTTAGTCTCTCATGTAGTGGATCTCTTGTTCTTCAGATTTTCTATGAAGGATTATATCTTGATGAGAATATCACATTTGACCTTCTTTCCTTCAAGGATATATTTAAAAATTTATATTCTATTGTTCTATTTGAAAATTTCATTATCCAAATAGGTCATGTGGGATTTCTTTGTCTCAAAAAAAAAATTATTACATTTAAAAAAAACATAATAACAATAAATCTCACTCACAAGTGCAATCTACAAGCTTTTGAGCGATATAACTATTTAACTTATATTGATTCATTAGTATGCGTCTAGAAATGTATGTGGGACAAAATAGATAATTTCTTTATATTCGGTACGCTTTTGTAATTTACTTTTTACGAAAGAATGTGCTTGTAGGCATAATATGTGCCTAATAAAGCATTGAAACTTTTGTACTTAGCTAGAGACAAATTGAAGAAATTATATATTATGTGACATCCCGATGCTTTGGGTGTTTTGTAATAAAAAAAAGAGTCACTTTAGACCGTTCCTTGTCTTTTAGTAAAAATTCATTGAGGAGACTCAAGTCTAATGAGTACAAAATATTAAATTTGTGTCAAATTGGAGAAGATATAATTACGTAAAAATTATGGAATCATGAGTGCATCCATGACATAGAAATTAGTAAACAACATTTGTACTAGCTAGTATCGTTTGATACGTATATACATTTGTATTATTGTTCTATATCACCCAGTTTTCCACAAAATGTATTTAACACATGATCATATCATTGTCGATCATGGCAGCTTGAGTTCATGAAATTGTGATAGAATAAGTGAATTGTTATTTTGTTTTTAAAACAAAACAAAACATATCAAATTGATACAATTATACAGAGGCAAAAACAGGTGATAAATACAAAGACAACCCACAAGATATTGAAAAATACTCGTATGAAATAGTACATATCATAAAAGTATCATAAATTATGTATATGTGAAAAAATAAAGATTTTTCTAACTGTTACTAAACCAAATTGAATCTATAATTCAATTCAAAAAAAACTTCACAAAAATAATCAACAAAACAATGAGTTATTATTCACACGATAGTCATAAAAGTGCAGAGAAAACAAGGCAAACATATCTATATGACTATACACGTAGTATATTCTTACGAACAAGGAATTTCTAAAAAATAAACATGTTAATACTCAAAGATGTGTAATATACGAATTGGGAGAGGGAAAAAATCAGAGAGGAAAACTCACCTTCAATTGAAGCTTTGTCACCGGGAATTGAGATTGAACAAGCATGAGAATTACTGACCTCATCGGATTCAGGTCCTGAGGACGCAATCACTCTCGAGCATCAAGTATCGGCGACCTTCCAACGAGTGACCTCCAGCAGTAGATCTGATAAGGGAAGGATTCAACCTTCAACAATAGATCCCGGCCAAAAGGTGGTGTCTACCCTCGCCGATAGATTAGGTAAGTGCAAGCTTGAGCAAGCGATTCAGAAGACAGAAAGCTTCGCCGGTGAGCAAGCGACTTGTGGTGGGGCGGTGAGTGACAGAAAACTTTGAGTAGTAGCTAGCGACTGAGTGGGGCTGCTGGTAGAGGGACGCACGGCTGTGTGTGGCGCTTGGTTGAGGGGCGGCCAACTGTAGTGGCTAGATAGGGTTTTTTGGGGAAGAGAGAATGTTGGGGTTAAGGCTCATGCTAATAAAGTGTTGTAGGGGAATTGTGTGTGGAGCTTCATTACCAAAGACCCCTAAAAATAGGGATAGATTAGGGTTTACAAGTACAGGCCAACATGCCCATAGTACATAGTTTACATAAAACGGTCCTAATACACATTCTATATAAACGATAGCACACTACATAGAATTTCCTTCGACAAATTTGAATTTTTTATTTCAAAATAGACTTTACATAAAATTGATTGAGCCATGAAGAAAACATCAAAGGAGGATGGTTTGGAATGTGGGCAAACCCCGATAGCCCACCACCCGAAAATGGTAGTGAAACCAAAGCCATATAGAAAGTTAAACTTGAGAGTTGAGAATAACGCCCGCATCCAACACGTTTTTACTCCACTCGAATCATGTGTTTGTTTCCCTAATCTAATTTATATAGTTAAACTAAATACGAGAAAATGATCAAAATGGTACATGAAGTTGTTTCAAGTGGAATAAGTAGTACTCCATCTTACACTTGAAATTACAAAGTACGTGAACTTGCATTTTTAAGGTCGACTGAGTACATGTTCTTTGTTAAAACGTTAAAATGTCCGATCTGGCCAAACTATTAGTTTGTAATATATCGTTGCAGTCCAAGTCATCAAATAATTAATCTATAAAATCTCATTTCCTCCACTTCACTCGTTTCCACTTTCACTCTTCATTTTATATTTCTCACATTTGCTCTCCATTCTCTCGTTCTTCATCTTATATTTCTCTCGTCTGCTCTCCAAGGGCGGAGCCAGGGCACTAGGCCGGACTGGAGTAGTACACAAAGTATTTTTGGAAAAAAATTACACAGAATTTATACTTTAAAACTAAAACATTTTTTAAATTTGAGATGGATCAGGCCCTAGATTGCCCCCCTCTAGCTCTGCATGTGTTGCTCTCCTTCTCTTTCATATTCTCTCCCTACTATCCTGTCGGCTTCTTCTTTTATTTGCTATTGATCCGTCTTTATTATAGCAAGAGAAGAAGAAAAAAGTAGAGCAAAAAGAAGTAGAAGAAGACGAGATATCATGGTGAGCAGACGAGAAAAATATAAGATGTAGAGCGGAGAGAAAGGATAGCAGACGAGAAAAATATAAGATGAAATGCGAAGGTGAAAACGAGTGGACTGGAGGAAAATAGAGTATAGATTAATTATTTTATGACTTGGACTGCAACGGAAATAATACAAATAGATAGTTTTGCCAAGACAATTATTTTAACATTCTGACAGAGCAAATGTACTTGATTCTACTTGATTGACTATAAAAATACAAGTTATGTACTTTAAAATTTCAAAAGCAAGATGAAAGGGGTGTTTGGTTACTGGCCTATAAGCTGTTTTTTGTCTGTTTTGACTAATAATTGGCCTTTTGACGAGATGAAACAGCTAACTTGGGTGTTTGGTAACAACTTTTTTATTTGGCTTTTTATCAAAACAGCCAAAACTGAAAAAGCCACTAATCATAGCGTTTAGGCATTAGCCTTTCCGTTTATCCTTCGATTTTCCTGATTTGCCCGCAACTCCTCTTCCCATAACTGTACAACTTCCTTCTCTAATTCATCAGACAAGCATCTTCGTGCTTTTGCAGTTTGCTCTCCAGGTTTGCTAAACCTTTGAATTGCCCCTCGTAATCAACTCTGTTTTTAATTTTTTCTCTTTTGATTGATATTGATGTAGTTCACTGGACTCCCCTGCAACTTTATTCCCTCTACTAGTTTTTACATTTTGCTGTTATTTCATTCCATGTAATTCTTTCCCGTTGGTAATTTGCTTGGCAACACTTTCTTTCAGGCTTGTAAAATTATATGTTCAGAAAAAAACATTGTTAAGAGGCCCCACATAAAATACTAGAGAGATAAGTTTAAATCGGTGGGTGTAGCTCAACTGGTAGCGAGGGAGTGCCACAAAGGTTAGGTCTCGGGTTCGAATCCCTGCAACTGCGATGAGAGGTTACTATGCTAAAAAATGCATAGGACCTCTGCAAGTACCGGCGACAGAGTCCCACTCTCTACCTGTCAGATTAGGATTATAGTCCAACTTACATCCTCCCAACGTACCGTCCGGTTGGGGTTGGGGGGGCCTTAGGGATGGGGTGTCATCCCCCTTTTTTTGAGATAAGTTTATAAATCCCTGTGTCAGATTAGCTAATGATTGAACCTCATCTTCTAGTGTATTACACAGTTGAGTGACCCCGATCCTAACCTCTTATGGATTCTATAATAGGGGTGTTCGTCGGTTCATTTTGGTCGGTTTTCGGTTTGGTCGGTTCGGTTTGGTCGGTTTCGGTTTTAGAAAAGGTGAAACCGAGAACCGAACCGCAGTACTTGATTCGGTTTCGATTCGGTTGTTTTCGGTCGGTTTCGGTCGGTTTTAGCATGTTTTTTGTCGGTTTTTATCGGTCGGTTTTTTAACCCAAAAGGTGAAACCGTAAACCGAACCGTCAATGATTAGTCGGTTTGAGTCAGTTTCAGTTTCGGTCGGTTTCGTTTTTTTCGGTTTTTTTGTTCACCCCTAGATTCTAACATGCATACAAAAGCATAAAATTCTCTCAAAAATGTATAGGACTCGTTATTTTGGAAGTATATTTTTACTTATATGTTATAACTCCATTTATTAAGAAAAATATTGTCATACTAACTATATTATTTATACATGAAAAAATATTAAAATAATTATTACTTGTTTTCATAAATTTTTTATTTTTTTAAATCATAAAGTAAAAACGTTTTAAGTGATTGTACTAATGACATTAATAAAAAAATTAATTGATGTCCTTTCAAATCATTTAACAAATTATCAGTCGATTGTACATAACATTTTTATCAAACACCATTTTACAAACTCATAATATTATCAGTTAATCAAAACATTCAACAGAATTCGCGATGATCGACCATGACCATTTGCCAAACACCCCTGAAGTACTACTTACTCCTATGAAACAATTTTACTATTTTGACCATTTTCTCAAATTAATACGTAGTACTCCCTTAGTCCTTTAAAACTTTACCAAGTTTGACTAATACGAGAATTAATAAAGAAAATTGCGTGATAGAGAGGGAGTAAGAAAAAATAAAAAATTAGTCCTAGTTTTCATCCCACTATGGTCGACACGACGGTTCTGTTCATCGGCTTCTTTCCATTACTGCTACTGTAAACGCTCTGTCCTGCGATTGCCTCTTTTTTCTCAAGAATTTATGAACATGTTAGGGTTTTGACTCCGGGATAAAGTCTAGATACTATTGGCGGGGTTTCAACAACGTTTATGCTCCCTCTATAGCTCTCCGTCGCTAAGCTTGGATTTCCACGCGGTAAGATTTCTTTTGGTTGAAATTAATTTACTCGTTTTTGAATATTTCAATATCTATGCGCTGCATCTTACTGTCAATCGTCATTTCTTGTTAAAAGTAACTGTAGGGTACGAGATCATTTTTGAATTTCATCTGCAATTGTGATATACCTTCTCATTTTAGTATGACTGAGGTGCGAACTTACTTCTCTCCACAAGATAGGGGATTTGGGCTTGTGGCGTTTGAACAACAATTGCTTTGAACAGGCACACTCAGAAATGAAACTAGTTAAGATCCTTGCACTTAGTGCCAGAAACAACTGGTTCATAAAGAAGAGTGAAAGTATTCTGCACTCACTCATTTCCACCAAGTAATAAAGGTGTCTTTATATATTTGGGAATAATAACAGGATGTCCTTCAAAATTTAATCCTCCCAATCTTTAATTTTGATGGGGGCATTGTAAACGGATTTACAATGCACAAAGGCCATACTTAAAGGGAATGCATCATTTTGGTAGGTTGAGGAATAGTTTGACTTTATGATTTCTAGGTGGTTTTGATGCCCCTTCTTGTTGTATACGAAGTATCTATTATGCTATTTGTGTTTCCCGTTTTATTAATCAGAATGTTTGGAATCCTATGTGTATTTAGTTTTCTACATTTGCATGTAATAGTCACTGGGTTGAATCTGGATCTTTTTTATCTTAACAGGCATGCATGCTAGTAGGATGTCATTGTAAATGATAAAAATGATTTCTGAATCAAATATTTGCTGATATCGCATTTCTCATGGGCATCATGGCTCGTAAAGGAGGCCAAGTAAAGCACGGGTTTAATAGTCATTTAGGAAACACAAGAAAAGAACATGTTGATTCTGGTTCTGGGCTTCCAGATAAATCACAAAGCAATGATGAAAGTGAGCCACATGTCATTACTGAGGAAGAACATTTAAGCGGTAATCTGCCAAGTGTACCTTTAACTCAAGAACTGAATAGTTCCTCTCAACCTGAAGCAAAGAGGAAAAACAAACATAAACACAAGAAATCACTAAAAAAGGAGAAGCAAGATGCAGTTGCCTCAGCAGTAACTGAGCACGTCGAAGCTCTAGGAGAGTTGGATAGTCATCATCCACATAAAACAGATGCTTCTGAGTTAAGAGAAGGAAAAGAAACGCCTTTCTGCAATGATTATAGCTCCGGGGACCCAAAGAGCAGGACCAGTTCCTCAGTAGAAGGAACTGCTACTCGAGAAACAATTGAGAAATCAGTTATAATTGTTTTTAGGTATTTGCGGACGATAGCTATATCGATTTCGAATTCATGTATTGAGTGGATAGAGAGGAGGAAACCATGGATGAGACATTTAAAGTGCATTGTATCAAATGCTAGTGTGTATGCTCAAAGGAAGGCTGAACAAGCATATCCTGTTGCTTTAAAATGGATTGTGAGTTTTGGCAACATACTGCTTTTGTTATCAATGGTTTGGTTAGACTGCTGTCTCAGAGGAATGGGCTCCTTCCTATGTATGGGGACGACTTCACTTTTTTCATTCATGTGGTGGGGTGTTCTCTCTTTGATCGCAGTGAGCGGATTCAAGTTCATATTGATTCTGGTAAGTGCGTCTCCCTTTCTCTATAGATTAGGATATCATATTGTGCTTGGTTAGTATTGATCTAGAGTCTAGATATCAACTTGAGTCAACTTGACCAATGTTGTGTTTGCTTAACTAATACCAATGGTGTGATTACTTCTTTTCTCTTGTTAATGTGTTTCTATTCTCATCCAGTTAGGTGTCTCTGTAATTGCACTTCTTTCTGGATTCATTGTTGCGATTCTTGCACTATCCTTTATAGGAGTTGCTTTCTTGTGGCTTTACGGACACTTTTTTATAGCAATCCCTGTCATCTTGTGTGGAGGTAAGTGATCCTTTGAATCTGTTTCATTAGCATTGTCCATCTTTATTTTTTGCCTATTTAAGTGTGACAATTTTCATGATGCAGGAATTCTCGCCAGATTGAACCATGAGCGCATTGCAGTGTTCATTATGACTTTGTATTCTGTTTACTGTGGACGGGCACATGTTGGGTGGCTTGGTCTACTATTGGGTTTAAACTTGTCTTTTATTTCAAGTGATGCTCTGATATTTTTCTTGAAGAACAATTTAAATGAAAGAAGGTCTGACAGCTATCCAGAACAAATGGCTGGAGTGTCTGCTGATTTTGGTGGTGGACTACCAGCTGATCATAGTACAGGAGGAATACCTTCAACCAGTGAGTCTGACTCGGGAATGACGTCTGAAAATGAAGTTATAAGATTGTTGAACTGTGCAGATCATTATTCAGCACTTGGTTTATCTCGGTTTCAGGATGTGGATGTTTCTATTCTCAAGAGGGAGTACAAAAGAAAGGTAAGTTCATTTGTGTACATTATCTACTGTTATCTAGTGTGTGAGATTACAAACTTACAATGGCTCTTTTTCCCACTCACTGGCTTCCTTCCCAAAGCAATTACCATTACCATCACATATTCCTTCGTAAATAAAAAGAGTGAAAAACGAGGGTTTCACCAACCAGTTATGTTTATCTTTTGCATTTAGGCAATGTTGGTTCATCCTGATAAAAACATGGGTAATGAAAGGGCTGTAGAGGCTTTCAAGAAACTCCAAAATGCATATGAGGTGTGAATTCTATTCCATTTTTTCTTGGTTTTCAATCATATTAGCATATGGGGTATCTAAATTTTGTCATAATTTCTTTTTATTCTTCAGGTTTTGTTTGACTCTCTTAAGAGAAAAACATATGATGAAGAATTGAGGAGAGAAGATTTCTTGAATTACTTCCGCAGCTTCCAAACTACTTCTCAAAAGGTCTAATTAGCTTAGCTGGTTTTGTTTATACAAAAGCCTAATAGTCTTCCTATTTTGGCAGTTTATGCTTTATACCTGTGCTTGCCTGCACTTGATTTCCATAAAGACCACTTCTAATTTCTTTTTAAGCTAAACCTTTCTGATTTGTTACAACCTCAGAATAGAGGCCGTAGATTTACTCAGGCAGAAGGTGTTGGTGAGGAACCTCTTGGAGAGTCTAGACGGATTAACTGCAAGAAGTGTGGCAAATTCCATCTCTGGATTTGTACTGAGAGAGTCAAATATAAAGCAAGATGGTGTCAGGTTTTTTACTTCTTCCTAATGTTTTTCCACATTTAAAAATAAATAAACAAATACTCGTAACAAAATTAAAGTCTGGGACATATAGCCCTCCTCCCATGCGCTCATTCAAAGAAGGAATACATAAGATTTTGGATCGACCCTAAACTTTAATGATAATTTTTCCGAAGGAATGTGAGGAGTTTCACCAGGCTAAAGATGGAGATGGATGGGTTGAACAGACTTCACAGCCTTTCTTATATGGACTGCTGGTGAAGGTATGCACCACTATTTGAACTTGTATGTCTATACATACTAATACTGGTACTGATGAATTGTAGTTGTTTGTTTGAGAGCAGGTAGAGACTCCGTGTGCATACGTTTGTGCTGAGAGTAAGATTTATGATGCGACTGAGTGGTATACCTGCCAGGTAGGCCCCTCTTCTTTCTTTGTATTCCATCTGCCCCCCCCCCCCCCCCCCCCCCCCCCCCCAAAAAAAAAGGTCAAATTCTTGATTGATCAATTTAGGCCAATTTTCCATCATCATTGGTCACGGACCGACCACATAAAGCTGTTCAATAATCGGGTTGGGCAGTTTAAGGTTATCATTACCCCAGTGCCGTTTTAGGCCAATTTTCCATGAGAAAAAAAATATTGGAATTGGGAAGGCAAGTTTAGGTATATATGATACGGAGTAAATAGGATTCATGATTTGGGGTAGACCCGGTGCCATTTCGGTGCTGAATCGTTGAAATTGTGGAACAGAAACTGCAGCCAGATACCCTGGTCCAGTTTCTGTCGTTTCATGTCTGGTATTGGTTCTCATGCCTATTCGAGGTCTCTATCTTAGCCTTGTTAAAAACGCTACATGAGTTGGCCCAGTCCTATATTCGGGGAACCTTACCAAGTACGGACCCATTTCTGGTTCCAATTGGAAGCGGAAATTCGGTTAAAGTCCAGACTGGGACTATGTCCACACCTAATATAAATTATAATATTATGGCACTTGTACTTTCCCAAGATTAAAATTTAAAACATTGTCCTTTTAGTGTTGGCACTTGTTCACTTGGATTTATTCAAGTCTTAGACCACATCACAATAAAATGGATTATATTAGACCTTACAACACATGAAAGGGTAGCCAGGTGCACAAAGGCATCCCTGTGAAATATACGACATGCCAAACCAGTTCAGACCACACTTAAATAGGACGCTCCTATTCCCAAACATTAAAGGGTAGCCAGGTGCACAAAGGCATCCCCGCAAGGCGAGGGTCCGGAGAAGTGTTCCACCACAAGGTTGTGTAAGGGGCAAGTCTTTCTATGTCAAATTTTTCAAGAGGCCGCTCCCAAGACTTGAACCCGTGACCTCTCGGTCATACAAGCATACAACAACACCTTAACTGGTGCACCAAGACTCCCTTTCATCCAATTCTCAGACAATATAGAAATGAATAAATTTCAGTCCAAATGAACAGGTCTTTAATCCTAATCTCAGACCAGATTATACAAATAAAGTTTAGTCCAAATGAACTGGTCTTAATCACCTTGTTATTAACACCCGTCACCCATGGGGTGTGGACGTGTGGTTATGGACAGGGAATGAGATGTCCAGCTAACAGTCACAAACCTAGTTTCCATGTGAACACAAATGTGACACTAAAAAGTAGCAATGGGAAGAGAAGTAGCAGCAGCTCTTCCGGGCAAAGAGGTGGGATGCCAAACATGGAAGATGCGGCCACCATGACTGAAGAGGAATTTGTGGAGTGGCTACAAAATGCCCTACAAGGGGGCTTTTTTAACAATGGTGGCGGCAGCGGTTCATCACAATCTCCTTCAGCAGCGGCCGAGACCGGAAAGGGAAGTGGCGGCCCTGCAAGTGGTAACAAGAAAAAGAAGAAAGGAAAAAAACAATGGTAACTGCCCCCCTCAAATTAGCAGTCATCTTCAACATGGTATTAGGAAGAGGAAAAGGTACAAAGCTGAGCGTTTAACATTTAACTAAATATATATATACTTGGAACACTGATGGGGCAAAGAACAATGTATGTACAGTCCATTGCCTCTGTAAATGTTTCTTTCTTCTTGAGAAGGTTATGCTTTGTTCAGTTGTGGTCCACTTAACATTTCCAGTTTTTCATTTTTTCTTGAGGAACTGATATCTTTCTCTATATTGATGCCTGATGGATGGCTCAAGGACACATTGTTATGGATTTTAACTTCAGCGTTTAGTACTGGTAGCGAAATCTGCTAGTTTTTTTATAGAAAGTATAGAATTGGACAAATGTATTTTTTCCCATTTTTCTCATCATAAGAATATAACAAAAGATGTACAAAAATACTCTGGAATAATTTGCAGTGAGTTTAGAGTTTGCACTAATAAGTGATAAGTGAGGAATGATCGCAAGGATGAAATTATGAAGAATTTAGTGTACACCATTTTTCATTAAGAACCACACCAGAGTAAGGGAAATATTGTTCAGGGTCCAATTTGGCTGGGGAAAAACTTTTTGTGCACACTTTTATGCACATTTGTGAGGGGTTTTTCTCATAGCTAAAAGATGTTTTGTCTATGATAGGTGGGAAAAGGCTCTTACAGACGTGTGTAAAAAGTGTGTACAACAATAAAATGTGTACAAGAAGTATTTTTCATTTCGGTTTTACTCTTATCCGAAAATCCGAAATTGGTCTACCTTAACTATGTTTGTCCTTATTGAAGTATTAAACTGAAATAGATGGAAACTAAATTGACCAAAATCGAAAATGATGAAAACCGGCCAAGTCATTGAGGTTCTGTACTTCTGTACTTCTATTCATGGTTTAAGGTTAAAGCATAAAAAACAGAGAGAACTGGTTTAGATAAAAACATATCAAATCCACTGAAAATAACCAAATCTAAACTAACCAACGGCACACAATATGGTTTTCAATTTATAGCTTTCTCAAAATCAAACTGACCTAATTAATGCAATGATGTCTTAGAGCATCTTCAATGATTTCAACTTTCAATTAGGGATTTGCTTGCAATTTTTAAAAATATTGAAGTTGCCAGTTATTATTTGGGTGTATTTTTGCTTCTAGATTGGGCAAGTAAATTACTAACTGCTAGTTTCGACTAAAATGGTCATCACCAAATATTTTTTTAATTTATTGGATAATTGATATATTAAATTAATTACAAATCCAACAATTAAGTACAATAGTGCTTCCTTCAAAAAAAGTACAACAGTGCGATACTTATGAAAACACATATTTTTTGTACCAATTTTAAAAATATGCCTTTTCATATCATCATCGTTATAACTTATATTAATAACACTCATTGTTTATGGATATACAAAAATCACTGACATTTCCCAATTAAAAGTATTTCGAATTAAGTATTATTTTTATTTATTACGGAGTAATAAACAATTCATTTAAAATGTAAACTTTCGGAGTTGATCGATTTGTAGGGTTTATTCAAGATGCAAACATTATATATAGTTAATGTTTTGAAAAAACACAATGCATGTTTTTAGTAAGAAGTTGCTTCAAATAGGTCTAAAATATGCACGAAGTGCACAAACAGGATAATTTATGTTTTATTTTCAGAACATGACTAATTTGATCCTACCCAAAGTTAAAAAACTAGTAATCCTACTCGTATACTTTATCTATGTTTTACTTTTATATAAAGAAAATTTTCTCTTTAAAATCTATTTAGGATAATGTAATTTCTAGAACGAAAAAATTGCGGGGATGTAAAAACGGACTGACTTTGCGCACCACTAAAAGTGTTGGGCGCACCTTTCTTTCTACAAAATTGGATGTCCTCTTCCCTTTATGCAGTACTCCCTATTTGTTTACTTGTTGATCATTTAACCGTACTCTTTTAACAGTGTATGTACTCCCTATTAAACATGGTTTGCTTTTTTTTTATACTCCCTCCGTCACCTTTTAAATGTCCCAGAAGAGGGTGACACGAGTTTTAAGAAAAGTGAGTTTGTGTGGTTGATAGTAATTGATAATGTAAGAATAAAGTAAGAATGATTTTGAGCCACACAAACTTTACCAAATAAGGTATGAGACAATTAAATAGGGACATCCCAATATAGTAAAATGGGACATTTAAAAGGGGACAGAGGGAGTAGTAGATATCATTTGCTTAATGCCCTCCATTAATTTTCTTGACATAATTTTGATGCTTTGACTGTCCTTTAATTTGGATTGCACTTTTTATTTGAACCTTATGTAGGAAAAATGAAGGGAAAACTATCAAATAAGCCCCCGTACTATACCCAAAAAATCGATTAGGTCCTCGTACTTTACAAACACTCAATTAAGTCCTCGAACTATTAAAAAACGTTCAATTAAGCCCTTTTGGTGGGTAAGTAACCGATTTCCCGGTTAAACAACGACGATGGCGACGATGTGCTCGAACTCCAGCAACAACGGCTTTCGGGAAACATGTTACATTTAACCGGGAAACCGGTTACTTACCGACCGAAAGGGCTTAATTGAACGTTTTTTAATAGTTCGAGGACTTAATTGAGTGTTTGTAAAGTACGAGGGCCTAATCGACTTTTTCGGTATAGTACGAGGGCTTATTTGATAGTTTTCCCAAAAATGAAAATTAATAATTCTACGTTTTAGCGGTTTTATTATAATGGTCCCACCCAACTGTAATTCAATAATAATTTCAATTTTGCATCTCATCTTCTTTCATCGGTCCCTTATCAGTTGATGACTGACTTGCTATTCCAGATTTTTTTTGCAAAACATTAAATCATAAATCCACATTTCATAAATCTTCTACAAACGATCTCAATTCTCGCATACTATGTATCCATTTTCTTTTTTCTTCCTAAAAGTTTTCACTCTTTTCCCTTTATCATCACAATGCTTTTATTACTTTTTTTTATTTTCATTTAGTTACCTTGTTTATGTATTGCTTTATCCATTTACCATAAGAGTTTTTTGTATAATTTTTTCCGATAGTTTTTCCTTTTTTTCTTCTCTATTTTTTATTTTCTTTCCTTTTTATGTATTCCTAATCATTGTAGCCTCTTTTTATAATTTTTTCCGGATTACTTATTTAAGTTTTTTCTTTGAATTTTTCAGAAAAGAGATAAATATATTAGTGGTGGAATCAAGGTAAAATGAAATACAAAATCAATAAGTGGAAGTAAAAAGAAAGTAAAGTAAAAAATTAGTAGGGTGAGAAAAATTGTTTTATAAGTGGGGAACTAATATGCAAAAATACATAAAAATGGCAATGAAATCAGAGTTTTTTCCTAAAATATTATTAATAGAAAGTCATTGACAAAAATGTAATTTGGTGACCTTTAGTAATTTTAATTGTGTTCAACATTTAGTCACTAAAAGTTACAAAGTGATATTTTTGTTCATCACTTTTCCAATGGTAATATTAGTGACGTTTTTTCATGAAATAATAAATGAAAAGAAGAAAAAAGAAGGAAAATTGAGTAAAAAGATAAGAATAAGAAGACGAAAAAAGGGATAAAAGAGTCATGCGTACAAAAATAAAAACTAGGTATTCTTAAAATTGCTGTATGAGGAGTTAATTTTAAAATTGAAAGTCCGAATATGATAGGGGTAATTGGGTATCGCCGTGTAAAATTTTATTAAACTGTTTAGTTTGAATTGAATAATCGGTAATTGAAAAGGTCAATAGAGTCGTAACTTGGTTACATAAAGTTATGGATAATTAATTATAAGCCCTCCATTTTGTTGAAACTGTAAAACAGCATCCTTATCGGCTACTAACTGTAATACCTCTCGATTCCAAACAAAGCTCCGAGTATCTATCTGCTCGGCTGAGAAAGAATCCTGTGTTTGCAAATGGATACCTTTCTACTCACAGTTGCTTCGGAAGTTGGAAAGTGTATAGTCGGTTTTGATGGGAACTCTGGAACCCGAATCTTTCCTGCCAAATCATCAGCAAAATTCCATCTTCCCTCTTCTTCTTTCTCTCTTCCATTTTCCTCCGGGAAGTTGAGATTCTCCTCCCTCATCGCGGCTGCAAATAAGAACAAGAAGGTCGATAACCATAGCTTCTTCCCAGGACCAGATGAAGCCACGGGTCCTTTCCCTGAAGCCGTCCTTCTCAAAGAGGTAAATTTATTTAATTTTTGTCTGTTATTCATTATCATTTGGATTATTTGGTTTCAGGGGTAGTTGTAGAAGAGTGCAGATACAGATTTCTTGAAGGGTATATAACTGAATGCTTGTTTAGAATCATAAACAGGGTTGTATTACTGTATAACTCAATTCGTTTAGTTGCACATAGTGTTAATCTCATCTGATGTCATATGCGAAATGATTGTCACTTTTGACTGGTGAAGGCTGGAGAAGATGGTAGGCTTGAGTTTGCAGATGCTGAAGAGCGTAAGCCAGCCTTTTTTTGCCTTCCTTGTTGTTGGGGGGTGGGTGTGGATAATGGAGTAAGATTCCCTGCTCATTTTACTGATGATGGGGCTTCTTTCATTTGCAGAAGCACTGTATGAGTCTTTAAATCTTCAGCTGGAGAGTGAATTAAATGTGGAAAGAAGTAAGTGTTGTTCTTTGAAGTGTTGGTTAATAACAGGAAACTGTGATCACATTCACAAGTTCACCTTGAACACGTAATCCTTTTTAGGGCTTGGTCCTAGTTCATTTATGAGGTTATGTTTTAAAACCCCATTTGGGCATTTTGATATATAAAGAAATTACTGGAAATAAACATGGATTTATATGGATTCATAGGTCTGTCATTTTCTATTAAAAATAGGATTTATTCAATCATAAAGAAAGAAAGAAAGAATGGAAGTAGAAAAACTTACTACAAACTACAAATAGGAGTAAAACATGAGTCATGTGCACAAATAGAAGTATCCTTGTTCTGATGATCTATTAAATCAACAATGATATATTGCTTGAAGATGTGTGTTACGTTTTGGTCCTATTGAGGGATTTTTTACTGTAATAAGTAGCTAGCACTGAATGTAGCATTGTGAAATTAGTATGGTTTTGATTCTATAGTGTTCAGTGAAAGTGAATGAGTTTGCTGGCATGCAGTGCGCCACTATGAAGTAGTGTACTTGATTCATGAAGATCACAAGGATGATGTGGAGAGTGTGAATATGATGGTTCAAGGTCTGTCCTACCTGCTTCCTTAATGATCTTATTACTAATACTTGCATCTTGGTACTTAGGCCATGTCTGCTTTAGCTTTTAAAAAGTGATTTATTTTAGTGATTATACTATTATAGGGAAAATGCTTAATAATAAAGTAGGCATTGTTTGAAGTAAAAATGATCTTAAGAAGTTGAAGTTCGAGTGTGGAGTAAAAAAATATTTTTGGTGTAGTATTTACTAGTATTGCAGTACTATTTAGGTGCAATACTAGAAGAAGTTTTTAGCTTGGAAGTGCTGAAAAGTAGTTTTAAGAGCCTTTCTCTTGCTTTTAGCTTGGAAGTGCTTAAAGTTAACTAGAAGCAGTAACTTAAAAACACTGTTTTCAGTTTTTAATAAAGAAAACATCATAAAAGTACTTCCCAAAAGCAATTGAAAATGCTCTCTTAGTTCTTTTGAAATGTCTGTTTAGAGTATTAGTTTTTCTCCTTTCTTTTCTGTTCAGAATCTGAAGATTTTTTCGGGGGGGGGGGGGGGGGGGGAGGGGTGCAGATTTTTTGAAGGAGAAGAAAGGAAGGGTATGGAGATTCAACGACTGGGGTATGAGAAGACTATCATACAAGATATGTAAAGCAACGCAGGCGCACTACATTTTGATGAACTTTGAAATGGATGCGAAATGGATTAATGATTTCAAAGAATTGCTTGACAAGGACGAGAGAGTTATCAGACATCTTGTCATGAAGAAGGACAATGAGGAGACCAAGGATTGCCCCCCTCCTCCAGAATACCATTCTTTGTGTGGTGACGATGATGAGGGTGAGGATGAAGATGAGGAAATCGATGACTGTGATGGTGAGGAGTTTGATGATGAGTTTGACGCTGAGTTAGATGATGATGATGAGGAGGAGGAGGAGGAGGTGGATGATGATGATGATGATGATGGTGCTATTTATGTGGAAGAAGAAGATATAGTTTCTCTGAGTACAATGGTAAGGTGAAGAAGAGAAAGTAGATAAGAGGAAGCTGAGTACTGCAAGTCAGGAGAGAGTGAAAATGTAATTGAAAAAAGAGTAGGCTAGGCGGCTTACCACATCTTACTCCAATGATCAAGTTTGCTTATTATGGCCCCGTTTATTAGAAAATTTGATCTACCTTGGTAAGCAAATGTGTTCCCTCATTGAATGTGGGATGATCCTTGAGTACGTGTGGACAAGGACTTAGTTTCAGTGTTTTTTGCCCAAAATTTAATTCGAATTTTGGCCCTGGAATTGATGTAGGATTGGTCTGGTTCAGTTTAATATGATATTAAGTCAGAACCGGTTGATTCATGTTGCATTTTTTTAGTTAAAGCTCAAATTTTCGCGTTTCGGACTGCTTAAAATCCTTAAATCAGTCCATGAATTGTTCCTTCAAGTCATGGTTGTAGTTGAGGTTCTTCTAATCTAGGATCTGTCATTGATCCCTGTTCACCTTAAGATATACGGATTAACATTTAGCTTCAAAAGTTGTGTATTTGAAGCCAATTATTTTCTATAAAGAAATCAAAGCTGTACTATGGAGAATTTTCAAACTCATCATAGCCCACTCGCAACTTATGAAAAAGTACATTTAACACCCTGCAATCACGTTTTTTGTGTGTAAAAAAGCTCACTGTAATATAGTATAGATTATAAATTGCTCCAACATGTTTTTAGAAAATTAAAAATCAAAATCAAATAGCCACGTCACCATTTTATTTACTCCTTCCATTTCGTGGAAAGTTTTGGTTTCAGTTTATAAATTTTTACTCATAATAAAGTCAACTCTTCTATAACAATATTGCATGAAAAAGGTTCAAATAAGTCCTTGTACTATTTTCAAACCATCACTTAAGCCCCTGTACTTGACACAAAAACCTAATCCAGTTTTAATAGTTTAATATGAGTATGTATTAATGTATATGTTGACATTGCGGCTTTTCCCGTCGACAACTCAATGTTTCAATATGGTTAGATTTATGTGCTATTTATCAATTCATACACTTGATGCCAATGTTAGTGACTAGAGAGTAGAGACAACTCTCTTCAATTAGTCCTGAGATTGGACTTTGGAGGAGACTGGAACAACTGAACAAGCGGAACCAATGTGTTTTGATTTCTGGCCTTGCACCAACCATCCAATGGATCTAGTAAATTGACGGTGCGAGAACTTAATTTCAGAACAAATGGAGTATGTTCGAAGGGAAAATGACAAATTGTAAAAGACAAGAAGACCTGAACTCTACTCCCTTTCTAATAGGATCACAATTAACCAGTTGCAATGGCATGGCACGAGTAGTTGCACTACTCGATGTGGGTTCGGTTTATTGTCGTGGATCTCCGTTCCACGACGTTGGTCTTTCCGTTGCTTGGGTTTCAGTATGGTCGCTGTTTGCACTAGTCGGTTTCGGTCGGTTGCAATGGCGTGGCACGAGTAGTTGCACTACTCGATGTGGGTTTCGGTTTCTTGTCGTTGGCAATTGCGACTAGTGGGTTTATATGGCATCACGTCAATGGTCACAGACCTAAAAATATGTGCAATACCGCACACCTGTCACCATTTTTATGGCATCACATCAATGGTGCACGGCGTCAACTCCATCCTCTGGCGGGTGACCATTTTCAAGCATGCATGTGTGTCTTCCATACAACATATCAGATTCCATCAGCATCTTTGTTTCTCACAAGTCATAGTAGAAGCTGAATTTTATTCAATAATAGGTTAGATTTTGTTTTGCAGAGCATGCATATTGATCATCATAACTACAAAACAATCAAACACACAAAGCATGAGAATGAATGATACCTTTGCTATATTCATGCTATGTTCATGATCGTCGCTGCTTGACAAACGAGAACACTGGAAAAGCAAAACATTATTTCCAGTCTCATTAATTTCAAATCTTTCGTTCATTAGAACTACTTTAGCAAATCATTATCTAATCTTTATACTCTCTGTCCTTTGAAGTCAGAACCAACAACCTACAAATATATCAAGCATAGACATAATGTACCCAATAAATTAACAAGTTATATTTCAAATAAGGAAATAAAAATAGTTAAGGATCTTGACCTGTATTCTCTGTTAAATATTCTCAAATTTCATGCTTCCAACATTTCAGTCACACCACGTGTTTATCCATAAATGACGTTCCTTCATATCAAGGTGAAACTCTCACCAAAATAGTATCCATATATTCTACTGCATTAACATAACCAATCTGGCTAACCAAAAAACGTACTACAACATTCCACGTGGACATGTTTGGGAGAATTCCTTCATCTATCATTTTGCCAACGCACCCAATAGCTGTTTCAGAATCATTCAACTCACAGGCCCCAATTATAAGACTGGTGTATGAAACTAAATCCGGCTTCCATCCTCCTAACCTCATTACGTCAAAAAGCTGAATGGCAAGATCGACATTTCCGCCCTTACAATATGCATTTATTAGTATGTTGAATGTGAAGTCATCAGGATTGATTCCCCTGACAAGCATCTTGGCAATAACTTTCGGAGCATCTTCAAGCATCCCAGAGGCAATAGTATTGTATGCCACCAGATCAAGTTCAACCCCTTTTTCCTCCATCTCCACTAAAAGCTCCAATGCGAGGGAAATGTTGTTAGATCTTAACAACCCATTCAATAGCTCTTTATATGTGGTTGCATCACGCGAACACCCAAAACTCTCCATTTGATTGAACATCGCAATAGCCATATCAATTTTACCACTCCCACACAGACCTTTCAAAAATGTGTTAAACGTGGTGGTATTTGGGGGGCAGTTTTCAGCCACCATGTTTTCAATGATCTCATATGCATGTTCAAACATGAAGTTTTTACATAGTGCATTCACTATACATGTATATACAACAACATTTGGACGGAAACCAAGCAATATCATCTTGTTCCATATCTCATATGCACCACGCAGATCTCCGGATTTTGTAAACCCGTCTATGAGAGTGCTAAAAGTTGTCAAATTTGGAGAACACCCTCCTCCAACTCTTTCCATTTGGATAAAGATGGATACAGATGTTTTCATATTCCCAAACAAACAAAGACCACGTATTAACGTATTGTATGCAATAACATTAGGAAAAACCATCTCCTTAATCATAGCATCCCACACATCAAGCGCTTCATCGCACCTTCCAGCAACACACATTCCTTTTATCAAGTTGGTAAAAGTATAAACATTTGGAGAGCATCCTCTCACAAACATTTTTGCTAAGATGGAAAGAGAGAGCGGGGCATTACCTAACTCAGATGAAGCATTTAATATTGTTGTGTATGTAATGGCATTGGGAGCGGCACCCTTCTCCATCATCTCATCCAACAATTTGATTGCCTCCTCCACATCCCACTCTTTGCAAAGTCCATTCACAAGTGCATTCCAAACAGGAACACTGGCATCAACCGCCTCAGCGAGGTCTCTTGCTTCTTTCACCCGACCTAGATTACACAATGAAGACACAATTGTTGTATAGCTCACCTCATCAGGAGAACAACCCTTCTTAGACATTTCATCGAGCAGCTTGTAAGCAGCATCCACCCTATTATTCTTACAAAGGGCTTTTAAAAGAATATTGTATGTAAACACATTGGGGGTAATACCGTCTTTCTTCATGTTACTATATATAGGAGTGATCATGCTAAACCTATTCTCACTTAGCAATGCATCTAAGAGATGATTGTAAACCTTCACTGTGGGTTTGCAGCCAAAGTCTTGCATTCTGTAAAACATTTTTAGAGATTGTGGGGCAGAACCAGATTTCTTATAGAAATTGATGACACCTACAAATGTGTTTTCAGAACAATGGATCCCATCTAAGTACATTTGCTGCAAAAGGTAGTGAACTTCATCCATCTCTCCTTGGCTGCCCAGTTTCTGAATCATCACTTGGTATGTTAGTGGGGTGTGCTTGAAAGACTTGGAATTGGAAACATATTTGAAAAACTCAAAAGCCAGAACAACATTTTGCTCTTTCCTTAGTCTCTTCAGAACATCAGATTCTTCAAAAGCTATTGGGTTATCATTATTAGTATTATCATTTCGATAATTGAAACTCATGTTCGGGTTTTGCGCGAAATGGATCAATGGTTTAGAAGGTTTAGGTACTTTCAACAGTAACGTGCACCCCTCTTTTAGAATCATCCTAAGAACAGTCACCTCGTCTCCCTCTCACAAATAAAACAGCAGGAGGGATACCTGCAAAATGGAATCTTCATTTTTAATCTTAAATTGTTTCATGTGAAGGAATACAATTATGGAATGAAGCAGCCTACCAAAATTTAGCACAATGCCAATTAGGAATTAGGATGGTTGTTAAAATATACAGTCAGACTTTTACACTCACAGTCAGACTGACTTGGTAGAGAGGTATATATCACTTTAAGTAAAACTTTACCAGAAATATGGATGAGAATTCTAAAATGACCCTGTGTACCGCTGTTTTACCCTAAAATACCATTATTAGGGATGGGCCCGTCCCGAGAAATTGGGGACCATGTGCAACAACAATATTTGGCCCTTTTTTAACATATAACATAAATATAGAAAACAACAGTGATAAGTTACTGATATTTTGTGTTAAAATACAAGTTATTAATGAACACAGTAGTAAAAATAAAAGTATTCATTAATAAAAATGCATTTCACTTAAAAAAGAGACATTCTTTGAGCTTATTTAGAGAATTACCTAATTACTTATTAAATAAATAACAAACTAATTAGTTAAATTTGATTATAAATAACTAAAATAAGCAACCCAAACCCAATCACATAAAAATCAAGAATATTAGCAATAAATAAGAAATTAACAAGATTAATCATTTAATATTCTATAATTAATTAAAAAGATAAAACAAAAAGTCAGAAACCACACCTGGTTAACTGGTTCATCGCTTCAGTAGACAGTAGTAACTAGTAACCACAGTCAACAGGAGCGAGGCAGCAGCTCAGCGGCCAGCACTTCAGGTCTTCAGCGAGGTGAGCGATTGAGCGAGCCTTGCGAGGCTGCGGGCAGAGGCCTGAAGGAGTGGAGGCAGATGGAGGCGCGGCACGGTGGACGCTAGGTGGGCGGCGGCGTCCCTCTCTGGCTCCCTCTGTCGCTTGCACTCTTGCAGACCCAGTTGCCAATTGAGTATCAGGAATTCGGGTTTGCCGTGTCACCTATTCGGGTTTGCAGGTGTTCTGGAGTCGGGCTTCTCTTCTAGTCTTCCACAATTCCACGGAGTATAATTTCTTGGACATGAGTTATGGGATGATGATATTGGAATAAAGGAGAAGGGCAAAAAAGGATGGCCAACTTTTTTAATGAATCTCTAGGACATAGAGGTTAAAAGTGGACCAAAACAACACAAATTAAAACTTTTCCCTTAACTTTTAACCACTCACTAACTTTCCTTACCAACGGCCGTTTCCCCTAACTAAAACTCCCCTTTTCCTACGTTTGATTAAACGCATATCCCCCATTTGCAACTCTAAGTAAATTTTCTTCGACTGTAACTCGCACTCGGAAAGAAGATTACACGTTGATGGACTGTAACTTGAGATTGCAAACGTGACGAAATCCGTTCAAACACTCTAAGGTATTCCGTTCTTGTAACTTTCTCCGTAAAAATGAGTGGGGGTGGTCAACTTGAGGTTTAACCATAGCGGGAGGTGGTTGTTGAAGCCTTTACAATACGTGAATGGGGATGTGGATACCATATATGGATTTGACCCTGACTATTTGTGTTATCATGACATAGCCCGGAAGTATAAGGATGATTTGGGTTTTAAAACTCTAAAAAACATATATGTGTTAGAACCTGGAAAAGACATGGAAAATGGGCTGTTTTTAGTTCAAGATGATGACACAATAAGGAAGGTGCTTAATCGTATTAGAACCTTCTCATGGATTGATGATACTGAACTGTATGCTGATCATGAACTGGATGAACCTCTTCTAATTCCCCTACTAGAAGGGACTACTGTGACAGACCACAATGGTGACACCCACAATGATGAAAACCAAAATGGGATAGGATTTGATGGTGGTAATGAACATGTTAAAGACCAAACTGAAGTGAGCACAGGTGGTGTCCCAAATGGATATCAAACTGTTGAAGACTGTAATGGAGGGCATGAAGAGGAGGAGGAGGAGAGCAACCAATCTGAGGACTCCTCAGATGATGAGCCCCAGAATTATGTTGTGAATGATGGATCAGGTACTTTCCAGAATGGAATGACTTTTGAAGATGTGAAAGAGGCTCGTTGATGGATCAGGTACTTTCCACAGGATGCAATATCATTTTTAATGGTGATGTGGGGTTTGAAATTGGAGAGGGTGAAGATAAACACACTGTGATGTTAGATAAATTGATATGCACTTACAAAGCTTGGGAATTGATTTGGCATTCCTTGCTTACATGCCATGTATGCATTATATTATAAGAAGGAAGATGTCCTTTCATACATATCTAGGTGGTACCATAAAGAAACATACATGGCAGTTTATCAGTACCCTTTGCAACATGTCCCTGGGAAGGCTTTCATGAAAGTAGACGAATACGAACCTATTCTACCTCCCCCAATTCCTAACTTACCTGACAGACCAGAAAAGAACAGAGTTAGAGGCTCAAATGAGGTCAAAGGAAAGGACAAATCCAAATGTGTGGGATATGTCATCTTGAGGGGCATAAGAGGGCAAAATGTCATAATAAAGACATACCTGTAAGTTATACCATTTATGTGTGTATTATATTTATGATGGTTGATTATGATGCATGTTAAATTTTTTGTATGTTATTATTAGATAACAAAGGAATTAAGGGAAGAGACTACTCCTGCAACTGTTACTACACAGGGGAGTGTGAATCAAAGGAAGAGACCAGCAGCTTTAGAAGAAATTGCAGAAAAACAAAAGGGTAAGTCCAAACTAGCATGTAGAAGAATGGGCAGGTCTAAAGGTAAACAACCTGTCACAGGTTTTGGGTGCTATGTTGATGTCAACACAGGTTCAAAGACTATAAATGTGAGTTTCATATAGTGTCATTTAATCTGACTCTTGTTCCAATTAGTTTCACAAACTTTCTAATAATATAGTGTGAATATGAACTATGTTGATGTGTTTTGTATGCAGCCTGGGATGGATAGTGAACAATTAGTGAATCAATTGTATCATGAGGTGGCACATGACCCTGATGTTAATGTAAGATTTGCAATACCTAATGAGAAGAAAATTAGAAGTGTTGGAAGAGTTGAAAAGGAAACTTATGTGCTTGCACATAGAACAATAAGTTTCAAAGGTGATGGGGCTCAAGTCAAAAAACCTACCAACCTGCCCTTTCAACCACCTGGTTTGCAATGGAAGGGTAAAAAAAGCAATCAGCACAAGACAATTGTTAAACAACAGCCAAATGAGGAAGGGATCTGCTATGAGGATGGAATCTGTTGGCCATGGTGATGTTGGTGAACCACCACTTTAATTGCTTGGAAGGGGAAGACATGAAAGCTGAACGAAGACTTCAATGTTGTATTTAAAAAAAATTGCCCACTTTGATGTTATTATAGCTGTCAGTTTTTGGATATAGTAGGTGACAACATTAACTTTTGTACTTGTGTCAAGATGACCAAGTTATAGGCTTTTTTGGAGTGATAATTTAGGAGTTGTATGACATTTTGAATTTTGTAACCTCTTTAACAACTCGTAATATTACATTTAATGATGCCAAGTAATTATCTGACTTCTTATATATTTGATGTCATTACCTTTCATTAAGCTGTTATTAGGGGTTTTTTTGGTGTCGTAATGTGTATGCTTTGTAATTGGTTTTTCAAATTGTAACTACATTTGCTATATTGATCATGATAGTTTTCATAGTTGGTGGCAGGCTTACAGGTCTCGTATAAGACCTCAAAAAAGACCTAAATACAAGATCTCCATTTGGCCTAAACAACACCTACAATTAATTTGGCAAGCTAGGTCTGGTATAAGACCTCAAAAAGACCAATACACCTGCATTTTTTTTGCCAAAATAATTCTTCTATTGACCTGAAGAAGACCTCAAACTCAAAATGCATGTTTATTCCAGTTTTGTTACACATTCCTTGCCACTAAACACTTGCATTATCAAAGTATAAGATAGAAAAAATGCCCAAATGAAGCTATTGTTCTACCAAGTCATTCAAAATACCAAGTCAAATTAAAAATGTTAAACAAAGTACATACATACTAAAGAAGCTACTCCATTGACCATCAATGGTGTTCAAGGTTACAAAATACTAAGTCAAATTACATGATCAAACTAAATTCATACATATCAGTACAACAAGGGCACACATCATCAATACAATCACATAATTCCTCTTCAATTTTGCTCCTCTATCCAATTCCAAATGGTCTGCAACCTCTGTATGGTTCAACTCTTCAACCTCAAATTCCAGGTTTTGTTTAGAGGTATCCTCATATTCTGGAATTAATGTTTCTTCAACCTCCCTTGCACGTATGGCCTCCTCCAGTCCCATTATTGTACTAACAAGTCTTCTATTCTCCATTTTTAGATCATTGATAACATGTTTGGCCCTATCTGTCAGAGGTTCATCATGCCATTCAAAGAACCTGCAACCATCATTCTGTAGACATTAATAAATCATCCCATAAATCAATCATAAAACAAAAAATATCAAAATGGGATAAATGACACAATTTTAAAGTTTATAATACCTCGTAATGGGGGCAACCATAAAACCGTCTCCCTGTATTCTTATCAGTCCATGAAGTCCAAAGTCGAGCTTTCACAGGGATTTCACTTCGCCTCCTACATTTACAAAACTCACCCCCCCACACACACACACCGTATTGCGTCTCAATATTCGTTCCACACTGGAATGAATCAATGGAGGATGATTTCTGTAGCGCTGCAGCCCTTGATGGTGAAGACCTATCTCCCATTGCTATGGTTTCCTCTACACAAATGTCTGCATAACTAGAGTTGTTGGATATGATTTTTGGGGTCTTCTTATGCGCAGTGTAGTTAGGGGGAATTGGGGAAACGGACGTTTAACGGGAGAGTTAGTGGGTGGTTAAAAGTTAAGGGAAAGGTTTTAATTTGTGTTTTTTTGGTCCACTTTTAACCTGAGTGTCCTATTTGAGATTCATTAAAAACGTTGGTGTCCTTTTTTGCCCTTCTCCCTTGGAACAACAACAAGGATATAATAGAAAGAAAATATTGTTTGTATATGTCATTTACATATTTTTATACATCTTATATTTGTCATATTGTGATTATAATCCAATTTACATCCTCCCAATTTTTCGTCCGATCGGTGTTGAGGACCCTCAAGAATGGGGTGCCATCCTTTTTTTCTAAATTTAATTAATGAAAACAGAAGTAAAACATTATTCTACATGAGGTTGAATATATTACTCATTTTTTACCAATCAAGTTTTGTTCCATCATGTAAAGTTTATTAATATGTAGAATAAAAGTAACCCAAATTAGATACACAATTCGGCGTCTATATTTAGTTTTACGATTTCCAAGATGTTTTTAAAGTACGGAGTATGTTACTAACTAGGGATGCACTCGGGCCGGGTAAACCGGCCCGGTACCCGGGTCTGTGCCTGGTTTGGGCCACCCAGTCCGGTACTGTTATAGGGAGGTTCCCGGGCCTCCAAAACCATGATCCGGCCTGGCCGATTCGGGTCCAGTCGGGGCCTCAACGGTCAACTTTAAAAAAAAAAACAGCTCCTCCTAGCCGATGGGAACACTCCCAAACGGCTCTATAGCCGTTGGAGGGCTGGGAGGGGGTTTGTGGGGTGGGGGCGGGGGCGGGATATAAAAAACTATAAATACTCCTATTTTCTAAACAATTTTCTACACGTCTTCTCCAGCTCTTCCCACTCTCTATTCTCTAATATTCTTAATCATCTCCATCTTCATCTTCTTCAATTCTCTCTACATATATTTATACAATTATTATATCTACTTATATATATATATATATATATATATCTACTTATAAATACATATATTATATTACTAAAATTTAACTATCTAATTAATATATACTTATTATCTACTTAATATGAAGTATATACTTCATATCTATTTAATATCTACTTGTTATATTATTTTTATTTACTTACATTTACATATTACATCTACTTAATATATACTTATATATATTAAAGTATTAAATATAAGTGTATTACTCATCTTTATTAATATACTTATATATTATATATTATAAACATTATATTATATATTAGTTAAACAATTATTATATCTACTTATATACTTATTATCTACTTATAAATACATATATTAAGTATATACTACGTGTGTGTATATATATATATATATATATATATATATATATATATATATATATATATATATATATATATATATATATATATATATATATATATATATATATATAAAGGGTGTGGTTCCAATGAGAACGATGCTTAACGTGAGAACACTCACATTTCAATCACAGTGGTGCACAATGGAGCTTTTCTGTTGCACATTTTCAATTTGCTCGAGTTAAGCATAATTAAATAAACACGGTGGCATTTTGGTAAATATTATGAAAACAAGAAAAAGTGCAATATACAAGCTTCATTGTGCAACACGATGGGGTAAATGTGGTGTTCTCACGTTAAGCAATGTTCTTATTTGATCCTTATTCTTAAGTGTACTACTCATCTTATAGTAGTATACTTATATATTATATATTATAAACAATATACTATATATTAGTTACACTTTAATTAATAGTAATTAAATTCATCTTATTACTTATACACGCACACTCCATTTAATCTAGTTTACACGTTCATACATTTTTTATTAATATTAGTTAATTATTTAATTGGTACATTTCTCATTTTCCTATTAGTTCATTGGTATATTTGTCATTAAAGTATAAAAGTTTTTAATTGTTACATTTATCGTTTTCGTATTAGTTCATTGTTGTATTTGTCACTAAAGTATAAAAGTACTTAATTGTTAATTGTTACATTTCTCATTTTTCAATTAATTGAACCCACACTTGTTAGACAACAATTAGTTAACTAATTAGATTTTTTAATTCGAATTTATTCATTTAAAAAAAAGTAGTTGAATTTTATTTAAGAAAAATAGTTCGAATTTTTCCATTACACTAGTTAGATTTAAAAAACAGTTCGAATTTTACTTCCAATTACTTCGAATTTTATTTAAAAAAAATAGTCAGATTTTTTCATTAACATTTAATGAACAAAAACTAGTTATTCAAAAACTAGTTCGAATTAAAAAAAGGTTAGTTTTTTTTCATTATAAAAACTAGTTAGATTTAAAAAATATTATTTAATAAAATAGGTTTAAATAAAAAATAAAATTTAGAACATTTCTTATTAGTTACATTACTATTGTACTAATATTAACATATTTGTTAGAATTTAATATTTGTTACATTTTTAAGATGCAACGTGGTAGAGCTTCTGTAGATATGGGTAATCTCGGCGGGAACAAAACCAAGGAAATCGATTGCGATGAATCATCCTAGTTCACACAAAGGTAAAGGTAAAGGACGCGCTGGGTCTTCTTCTCAAACCTGAGATGATTTTGAAATGGACTACCATCGGATTGATGCGGATGCAATGTCCGACGAGCAACTACAACAACTATTGTCCCAACAAGATGGGCGGTTTTTACCAACAACATGACATTCCCGAGGTTGAAGATGAGCTCGAGAATGACGATGCGAAGGAGGATCTCCCGACAGCCGAGGGTGAGGGTGACGGCACCCCGGACGATAAGGAAGAGGTCGAGGCCGAGGACGAGGCTGGTTCATCTCAACCCAGTAAGAAATCTAAAACTAAATCTTTAGTTATGGATGTCAATTTTGATAAGGTGAAAGACAAGAAAACCGAAAAATGGTACGCACATTGCAAACATTACCCAAAAGTGTATAGCTTGGGAATTTCCGGAGGATACGGCAGTTGCAAAAGGCATCTTCAGTCCGTTCACCCCATATGCAAAAAAGTAAATCAACTCCCGTTAATGAACAAAGCTCGATTAACGAGCTTTCTTTGTATATAACATTTCCTGTTGATTATGAAGAAGGGGGTGACTTTGACGTTCTAAAGTGGTGAAAGGAAAAAGAAAGAACGTTCCCGATTTTATCAAAGATGGCTAAGCAAGTGCTAGCAATGCCGGTATCAACAGTTGTCGTGAAACAAGAATTCAGTGCGTCCGGCAACGTGCTAACTGATTATAGAACGAGATTAAGCGCGATTGGTTGAAGGCGAAACGTAGAATTCAAGAAGTGTGCATCGCCCTTACCCGCCACTCTATGGAGGAAACAACCGAAGATGTTGAAGATTCCGATTGATTATTATTTATTAGAAAATGTATTTCATGTTTTACATTTTTCTCAATTCTCTATTGTACTACATATTTCAAATAAATATACTTTAACTTTTTGATATCCAACCATTCTTAAATTAATTTGTAAAAAAAATTACCCTAACACGGCCCGACCCGGCCCGACCTGTACCCGACCCGCTACCCGGCCGGGTAGCCCGGCCCGAACCGGACCCTGTAGGTACCCGGGCCGGTTCCGGGCCACAATTCCCCAAAAAAAGCCCGGTCAGGCCCGGCCCAAGACTCGGACCGGCACGGCCCGAGTCCATCCCTATTACTAACACGTAAAGTAGTAATGACATATTTGTACATGCAAATCCAGACTATCCAGTGTTTTTTTTATGTTTTTGAAGGACCAACTCTTTCTACTATAGTACTATCATGATCTGCCAAATAGAAACTTTCGTATTTTATTTAAAAATGAAAATTGAAATATTCTTTTATTCTGTGTTTACATAATTAAGTTTGAGCTTGGATGTTTGAAATGATAAAACTCTGATAATAGTTTATTCTTTTCATTTTGAATTTTCAAAGTTTTTACTCTCTCAGTTCCAAATTGATGGTCCTATATTTTTTGGGCTCAAATATTAAGAAAAAATAGTAGAAGAACACATATAACCTTACTTTATTGCACTGTTTACTCTTTTACTTTTACTGTTCATTAAAAAAGAGAGGTATAAATAGGCATGGACTGGGGCCGGGTAAACCGAACCGGCACGGTACTGTTTGAGCCCAGCCCGGCCCGGTACCCGGGCATATTTCCGATTCGGGCCACCCGGCCCGACACTGTAGAGGGGCAGTTCCCGGGCCTCCTAAATGATGAACCGGCCCAGCCGGTTCGGGCCCGATCCGGGCCAAATTTAATTTTTTTTTGTTTTTCAAAATTTTAAAAAGGTAAATGGGTTGGGCTAGGTGTTTTGAAGATGTTTGAGGTGTGGGTGGGGGTGAGGGTAGAAAGTAATTAGAAAAAAAAAGGGTACCCGCTGGGTGGCCCAGCCCGAACCGGGCCCTAGTAGGTATTCGGGCCGGCTCCGGGCCTAAATAAACCACAAAAGCCTGGTCAGGCCCGGCCTGGCCCGAATCCATCCCTAGGTATAAGTGATAGTCTACTTTAATTTCTTTACCAAAAAAGAAAGGTGACTATCATTTTGGGACACCCCCAAATAAGAAATACAAGACCATCATTTTGGGACGGAGGTAGTATGTGATAAAAAGTAACATGTGTTGATACCTGGATGAGAACAAAATTATTTTGGGAACCAGACAATCCTAAAACATGAAATTCTAGTGAAAAAAAAGGTTGTATTGGACTCGAGAACAGTTGCAAATTGCAATAGTAGTATTGCTAATGCATGATCATTGATCACACTAGCCTTCTTATTCATAAAATTATGTCCTAGGATGCCTAACTTCGAATTTACTAAGCTCTATGTAGATCAAAATTGAGTTAGATAATGTAGTTTTCTCAATAAAGTAGTAATCAAGGGAATCTTCAGGGGCAGCTAAGTGAGGCAGCAAGGGGCCAGGGCCAAGAGAATCCTTTTCATGATGATGTGTTTTCTTGTTGAGCCACACATGGAGAGCAGTGTGACAAATATGATCTATTTATATGAAAGAAATAACATCATTTGTTTACATATATGTGTAGCGTGTGTGTATTCATGATCTCCAATGGGGGCAACTGTGGGTAGAACACAAAAGGGAACCCAATCTCAGAACCAAAGGTTGAATCATTAGTTGCTGCTACTATACAAACAACACTAACAGAATAGGACCCCGTCACATTCTCTAATAACTACAACATGCCGTACATCCAGACTGATATTTTCTTCTTCGAAATGTACCGCAGGGCCTATAATGAAGCAATTGATGGTATCATCAAAGGGCCGGCTCATCCCAACTCTTGCGAATTGCATCTCAATTTTTTTCTATATCTGCACAACATAGTAAACAACAATGATAGAGTTCTCGCAGGTATGTAAAATTTACAGAAAAGATGAAATAGAATTCAAGAAAACAATCTCAAGCTTCTCATTAATGGAGAAAGAAGTTACAATCGAGCTCCAAGAAAAGAGACAGAATATCTCTAATCTTCCCAGTTTCAACTGGCTAACAGCCTACCTTTTTTACCCACTCCCCTTCTATTTATAGTACTCTAGCTATTACCTATTCTTATTTACTCTTATTCTACCAGGTCCCTAACAAACAATCATACCCATATGAAATTAATATATTCATGCATACAATGAAGAATCACATGCATACCATGATCTGATATAGCCTGAGGAATACAGAAGAAAGCGTGTATATGGAACTTCCGATCAATAAGGCAGCAATTGCATTATAGAACAGGCGTTTATTGTCTTTGTTTGGAATAAATGCACATTTCAATGTATTTGTCAATTCAAAAAGCCGATAAGAAACCTGCAAATGTGTCAAAAACCCAGTTTGTTTATATATGCACTTTTTGCTTCTTAATGGAGGGGGTATTCCTTGCTCTTTTACTTACAGCAACATAAATGGCAGTTGTAAGCATAAAGTTCAGCAATGGATATTCCTCTGGGATAAAAGATAGCAACCTTTTAGGCTGACCATCTGGTACATCAGATCTGCAATATTGCGTTGCAACAGTTAGTGTACATTTCTGCTTTAGTAATCCAATTTTCAATTTGAGATTATAAATTTGCAAAAAGGAGTCAATATAGTTCATGAATGGTATACAGAGACTTGAAGGCCAATTCATGGTAGGAGCAATTTTATTTTCATCACATAACAGACTTCCTTTAAAATACCTCAACCATATGTGGAACTGCGCGATATAAGTCTCCAATGTTATCTTCCCGAGCCATCTATTATTCCCGAATTGAAAAGAGAGTAGCAGAGAAGCAGAGTTAGTTACTAATGTGTCCACATAAAAAATGTCTGAATAATTTGTTCGGATATTCTGAACAAAAAATATCTTTTATATTGGTTTCTAATGTCACATACGCTAAAAGTGTCAGTGAGTAGCTGCGCACTGACTGGGTAACGTTCCGTAAGCATATGAAAACTCTGAAAGCATGAAAAATAAGTCAGATAGCAAATGAATAGCGAACGACATCAAGCTAGATCAGAACCAGAAATTACAAATAAAACAAGGTATACATATGCATACGTTATTGGAATCCATGATGTATAAGGATGATATTTATTATATGTGCTCTTTGGAAGCTTGTATATGTGCTCATACCACAGGTATCCAATCTGGAATTCAAAATTCTATTACATCAAACACTGGAGTTTACATAAACTAGTTACTTATTAAAATTAAAGATAACTTATTACCGCCAGAGAAGTTATTGTAACAGCTGTTTTGATAGATATGCGACGCTTCGTTTCTGTTTCCTCAAGTTTCTCCATCCACTTCTCCACCTTGACATCAGAATTTCCAACAAAAATAAATAGATACATAAATAAAAACAATAATAATAATAATAGAGGCAGTGAGGAGGTAAGGAATCACAGCATTACAACCCTTAATTAATTAGTTAAAAGTTAAAACATTTAAAGATAGATAAAATGCACTAAGATCAGGACTAGAACTTACTGTAGGATGGAAGTATGCATACATCATTCCGATTATCCAAATGTAACGATCGAGTCCAGAACGGAAATGCCATTCATGCAACAAGGGCATTTTTGGTTTCAAAGGGTTGGGGTCGGCATATCCTAAGATGCAGTTATTAAAAAGACATTTAGATATTCACTACATTCTTCATTAAGCATGACATATAATGCAAAAGGAGGTCAAAACTACCAACCAAGAAGGAAAGTGAAAGGACCCCAAATAAGGTCAAACATTCCAGGTATTTCCCAAATCAGTATAACAACCAAGAAACAAGCCACGATCTTTGTAGCCATCACAGATCCATTTTCATTGTATTTGTTAAAAATACCTAAGGCTCCATAAACCATCAAAGTAAAAAGAGTGTGCATCGGACAGATGTAGTATAGCACATAATTGTTGTTTAGAACAATGCAGCAAAAGAACACCAAGAAATTAAGCCTCCACATCATCTGCCCAAACACAAATAAATTTTCTGTGAGTTATTTAATTAAAAAAACATTTCATGGTAGCAAGGAAAGGAAAAAGTAGTACCTGACTGAATCTTGCTATGCTAAAATCTTTTCGGATATAATAGTATGAGAAATTCCCAAATCCAGTCATCCATACGTAAGCAGCAATAAACACTCTTATCGCATTATAAAATTCTGAAGCAACGAAGTAATGGTACATCAGGAATAATACCTGTGTGTATAAATATAAAGAGGTTACTTGGATCCCAATTTCAAGATGTCCTTTGATTGAATGAAATAGGAACATGTGCATAAGGAAATTACTTCACCTGCATCCACCCTTTCCACTCCTCTGTCTGATGCCTGTTTAAGTACATCATGGATTTTCCTGATAAAGGGGATTTATCTTGGTGGATTTTAAAAGAAGTAATTGCAGAAACAATGATGAGTAGGAGGTAGAGGAACAGGAAAAGATCCCGATTATAATTCTGTTCAATAAACAAATAAACAAGATTAATGCGTATAAAATCAGAATAATTGTCACACAACGGATCTTTAAAGGGAGAGTTTGGCATACCTTTTTTGATTCATTAAAAAGACTTGTACGGTCACAAATGTAGAAATAGAACAAAAGAGCACCGAACTCTGATCTGCAAAGGGCACATTAGTAACAAAAGAGAGAAATAAGCATTGTAGCAAATAATAATCTTCTGTGAAAAGTTTGTCATTAAGAAAATTTATAAAAAACCCTTACATAGCTCTCAAAGTTAACCGGTTTTCAAGCAAGAATGTTTCATCCATCAAGAAGAGCCTGGGGAAATTACAACACGATGAATGCATGAACTGGTAATAGTATTTACCAAGGAAATCTCAGGTATTTACGAAACCTGACAACTTGAGAGGTTACTGATGGTGAAATGCGAGCTCTAGGAGAAGCTGACTGCAGGCTCCCACCTCCCTCCAACAGAGCGGATTGATCATCTTCTTTAACTGCTACTTTGCCTATCTCAACCAAATTGACATCAGAATGCCTGCTGTGGTGTAGCACAAAGATGTAAATTTTAATGAGAAAGATAGCTAGGTTTAAATCTCACAGATATTCACAGCATTAAAATCAAAGAATAAAGTTGTGCACGTACAGTTTGGAAGAAGCCGAGTTCTTGGAGTATTCCAAATACTCGGAGTACAACCAAGCCGCAAATAAGGGTACAATTCCAATGAAAAATGACACCTGCAATTGCTTAAGTCGATCAATTTAATAAAAACGCAGCAAGTGTGAAACAAAAACCCTGAAAACAGTGCAAGATCTAATGGCAAGAGCATATAGAGAAAGCATTGCAACCTGGCCAGGTGTCAAGGGTCCGTACATCAACATTTGCAATGCTTAGTGTTCCTCCCCAGAGCAGCAAACTGAAAGTGGAGAAGCTCAAAGAATATGATGGAGCATTTATACCTGAGATTGGAGAGATAGGGAGAAGAACATGAACTGGATCTGGTAGAGGAAGTGAGAAGAACAGTGGAATTTAGGAAATGCAGAGCGGTAGATTTGGAATGGTATTAAACAGAAGAACGAGCACTCTGTATTTGCTCCCTTCAGACACCCCTCCATGTCCTTCTCAGTTGGTGATTGGTGAAAGCGAAATTCCCAGCTTACCCCCTTAATTACTTTGACAGCTTGCTTTTTTCCCAGTAATGAAGAAATGTTAGTTGAGAATTGAGATAGTAGCCTATGTGTTTTTCTTCCTATTTCCTCTAATTTTCATTTTCCATTTATGCTCTTTTATTTTTGTAACTTTTTGGAAGAATTTGGTTTATATTGAAAACTCAACATTTAGATGATGGGTAATCCGACAAGTAGAATCTTGATAACCGTCATCCCGCGAATCAGACTCAGAGTTAATCACCTCTTCTGAAGCAATATAACGCGTTGATCCATAAAAGGGCACAAATGAGCCATACACGATTAACGTAATTTCATTGTCAGCCACATCCAAATCCAACGTCTTACAGAGATGAAAAACGACAGCTAAACAAGATATAAAACAAACGGAAAAGTCTGAAAATAATAAATGCTAAGATAATAAATAGTGCATTGCCTCCCGATCTGGTTGCTCTGCATCCTCATCAAGATCCCTAGCTTCTTGCTCTGAATACTCTTAGGCGAGCCTACTGATCTAGGCCCGCCTCCTCCCCGTTTTTTGTCCCATCTAATGTCATGTTGTCCTTTCCTTTTAGTTCATCTTCCTGTGACTCTCATAACCTCCTGCGCTTATGTTCTCCCGATGTTTCTTCCTTACTCTCACCTCCAGCGCCCTTTACTATACTATGTTATGAATCTGCCCCCGATTCTTTGTTCCCGCCTCTCATCCTATTCTCCGATTTGGCCTCCTCCCCATGCCTATGGTCCCTGCCAGAGCTCGATGAACCCTCCGACAACCATTGGTTTCCTCTTGTAGGACTCGTCTTCCTCCGCATACCTGCTCTAAGATGAACTCCAAACTTTTTCTCTAGGACTAGGTCTTCTTCGTAGTTCAAATGACATAATTTGTCTAGGTGACCGATTAACCCACAAATAAAGCAGAAGTTTGGCAATTTCTCATATTTAAAATCTACCCGGTAACTCTTGTCATCCTTCTTCAGATTAGTACCTCTTCTCAGGGCTTTTTCCACATTCATACACACACGAGCTCTCATATAGGCCTGTCACTGCTCTTATTATCATCATATTTTATAAACTTATCTATAAAATTTCCCACTTTCCTAGCCGTACCTAAGTTAACCAGACTATAAGGTACATTGTGAACTTGAACCCAAAAGTCTGCCTCATTCAGAACAATTTTATGTGGGATATTATCAGGTTTAACTTCTTTTAGTAACAATAAATTTCTCTCAAATTGTCATGGTCCTCCTTCCAGAACACGATTCATGTCTAACCGATGATAACCTTGATCGCCGGAAATCTGACCTTGCGGTCCGTCAGCAGCACCCCGGCCACAGGAAAGCCCGGTCTACTCTCCTCCTTCGGCTCCTCGCTCGCCTCCGTATCATCGAGGTCCAAATCGTCCTCCTCCTCCGCCAAAGCCATCTGCCTATATTTGTTCACAACGCTCTCCATGCCTGCCCTATTCGACTTCCTCTTGGTAAAAACGAGATTCGAATTTACCTTCCCAAATAGTGTTATCCAACGCAAAGCTTTCCTCTGCCGCCGAACTTTGCTCGTTGCCACCTTCCAAACGTGCTCGGGACCAACCAGAAAAACAGAGAAACCAATTTGGTAGACCTACAAAGCTTCGAAGACAAAACTCGGAGAACAACCCTCGCTTCACATGGCTTACCGGCGCAAGCCTGATAATAGCCGCCGACGGCGACACAACCTAGGCGTTACCAATGGGTAACCCTAGAGAGAAGGCAACGATGTTTATTTTGGTTTCTTTTTATAACTTTGAATATCTAAAAATTGTAACACGAAAAGTCTTTCTGAAAACTATTCCCATAAGATTTCCTACGGTTATTTTGAAAAAATATACCACATATTCTATATTTCTTTGACCAATGATGTTTTTAATTGGACTAAAACTTTTTGATATAGTCTTGTCTGTGTGATAAATGTCTACTCTCTATATATTTTTGAATTGTCAAAGTCTAAGTTGGTCTTCTCTTGTCTGATCTGGTCTAGTCTGATCTGGGATTGAAATAAGTTTAAGTAAAAACATCATAATAAAGGACACCTAGTATATATATTTTTGAAAAAAAATTAAAATAATACCAACTATCTTCCATGAACAAAGAATGATGGCTTTTGTCCTCAATATTATAAAAATGAGGATAAAAGATAAAAATGTGACCTCTTTTCTATATTTCCTAAAATGTGACCAACATCACAATTATACCCTACCCGTCAAAGTGACTCCGGCCAAAGTGGCTCCGGCCACAGTGACTCCGGCCTCCGGTCATAGTGACTCCCACCTACCGGTCACGGTGACCACAACTCACCGGCCACGGTGGCTGCCCGCCCACCGGCCAAAGTGACTGCCCATCCGCCAACCAAAGTGACTGTCCGCCCACTGGTCAAAGTGACTGCCCGTCCACCGGCCAAAGTGACTGCCCGCTTACCGTCCAAGCTGATTGCCCGCCCACCAGCCAAAGTGACTGCCCACCCAACTCCACCCACTACTGCCACTTTCCAGCCGCCGCCATATGGCCTGGCTTACCACTGTTGGCACCACCAATCACCATCGCCCACCACTTCATCCAGTGCCCAAACTACCTATTGCCCCTACCCCTCCCGGCCCACGCCCATGCTCGTATCCTGATCCGCCACCTGACCCGCCTCACCCGCCCTACCTACTCCAACTCCGACCAGCCAAACCTAACCCCCGATCCACCCCTCCCCAACTCTGATCTAACCCCGACATGGCACCATTTCCCCCTCGTCGCCCCCATTGTTGAACCCTAGCCGCCATTTTCATAGGGCACATAACTAGAAGAGGCTCTAGAAATTGTTTTAATTCTAGTAACAATCCCATTATATCTATTAGATTGGGAGGGAGACACAATAACAAAAAGCACTAGGTGTTTTGAGTATTCTGCTAACAACGCTTACCAAACTCTTGATTTGTATGAAGACTTAATGTCTTTAGACGTTGAAATGTAAGATGTTATTTACCTTTTCTATTAAATCCTAAATGGATTAAAACTTTTGCCTAGATTAAGAGGTACTTAGTGACAAGTGTTGAATGATAAGTATGAATTGTATTAAATGAATAAATAACCTTCGTGCCTAGGACAAAAATACTCTTAATCATACGTACTTAAAAGAAATAATAAACGTAACTTACAATTTTATAATTGTGTCTTCCCCAATTGAACAAAACTACTAGCCCAATTTTTTTTGCCAACAGAACAATTTCTTCGTACAAGGGTTACTCAGTCATTTTTGCACTCTTCAATTGACATTGAGCATGTATGCACGGTACTAAACGACCGTTCTCGATAAGAGTTCATGTATAACAAGGTAAATGTTTCGCTATGAGAATGTTAAATAGTGTTTACTGTGTAGTCTGGATTTTCTGAAATGGGTAATGCATATGTGTTTTTTGTACTTGGGTGGCCTGGAAAGTTCATTGTGAAATTCCCTTCATGTCATGGTGTTTCTATTGTCTGTATTGATATATTTAGCGATGGAATTTTCAATGCTTAAGTGTTTGTGATATAAGTGATGGAATTTTGTTTGTTTGTACAACATGTTTGATCAAGTTGAACTCGTTATTTACCATGGAGAAATAGTCACTAGCAATCCTGAGTGCATTTACAGAGGTGGTGCAGTGGACTCTATTACTATAGACCCGGATTTGATTTCATACCTCCATCTTCTGATGTTTCTATAAGGGGGAGCATATGGGAACATTGAAGGGTTGTACTCTAAAAGGATATGGCACCATATGGACACATTGCATGAGTTGTTTGATAATGACTCCACTCTACACTTAATTACTTTGGAGAGAATGTGGTGCATGTGAAATATTTGTCAATCACAATATAGATGAGGTTGAATTGGTGGACTTGCTCCCTTTACCTATACTAAAGCCAACATCTATAGAAAAGAGTCCTAATTTAAAGTCACCACAAGACAATGCAATTCTAGAAGGTGAAGTAGAACATGTAATGCCCGACAATGAACAAAACCATGGAGAAGACATGGGTGTTAGTGAAGATTATGTTAAATAAGGGGGGAGTGAAACATTGTTTGATGTGGACTTTGACGATCAAGGTAGTTCAAGTGATGTTTTTGTGGAGATACAAAAGGTAAATGATCAAGGTAATGTAGGTGGTGAAATTGAGAGTGAAGTGGAGGCCATAGAGGTCACTGGTCAAGGCTTTAAAGATAACCCTGGCTCTAACAACAGTTTAGAGTATGAATCTGATAGCCCTGTCAGCTACGCATCTTAAGAGGAATATGATGACCTTAATCAGTGCAAACCCAAAAAATGCCAGGTATCGACATGCAACCTATAACCCTGACTGTGATCCTCCTAAGACCGAGGTAGGTATATTGTTTGAGGATGGTCGTCGGTTCAAGAATGTTATAATATCATTTGATGTAGCTGAAAAAAGATATATATTTCAACAACGAAAATGAACTGAAGAAAGGTAGAGTGAAATGTACAAAAACTTGCAGAATACATTAAGGTGCTTTCAAGTTAAGGTTTTATACCTTGAACTCAAATGTAATACCACGTTTAAGTTGTGAGTTGTTAGTCAGAAATGGTTAGCTGAAAAATATGAGGACAAATTGGCACAATCTCCTTCCATTGGTGCAGTTGAATTAAAAACTCTCAAAGAAGCTGAGTTGAAATTATATGTGTCCACTAGCATATCTACCAAGGCATTGAGATTGATACATGAGAAGAGAAGACACAAGATTCATTTAAAGACCACTTTAAAAAGTTGAGGAATCACGTTGAAGAGTGTCTAAAGTCTATCCCAAATAGCACTGTGGTGATAAGTTAGAGTTGTGCCTAACGGTCCTACTACTTTCCAACGCATCTACGTCCGTTTTGGTGCTGTAAAAAGGGTTTCTTGAAGGATGTAGAAAATTTATTAGATTAGATGGATGTTTCTTAAAAGGCCAGTTAAAAGGGTGAGCTC